AGTTACATCACCTGCATGGCACAACTAGGACACGAACTGTTCTCAAGGTCAATGTGCCCAATTGATCCCAGTTGTCCAGTGTCTTGAAGGGACCCAAGTGAAAAATGGATAAACATGGCGCATTGCTGCCAAAACGGTCCCTCCTGATGCCGGTGCCTTGCGGCCTTGGATGGTACCGATAAAATCTCCTTCGCCTCACCGGCATTACCTTGGCACGGAAATCTAACATCGAAACCCTTACAAAATCTTGCAAATGTCCTTCAGCAGCATCATCTCTTTCTCTCTGCCATCTCCAGCAGCATAATCTGTCAAGTTTACATTTTGGAGCCACGACAACAATGGACATCTATGAAAATGACGCAATCATCAAAGATATCAAAGCAATATACCTGAACCTTCATTCGTACCCAAATTTAAAGGTACAATTGCTCATTGTACCCATTAATGGTGAAACGAGCAAGAATCTGTGAATTGGGATTATTCGTGCATATTCGTGCCAATTCGAGTGTTTTTCAATTTTGTGGGTTTAAGATGGTTTAAGTGATAATAACCCAGATCCCGCTCACCCATGTAGCCATTGAGGCCCTGGTTGGTGGTAGGTTGTGGTGCACATCACCAGCATCACTCTTCCATTTCTGCCTCAGACCCGGCAAACCCATGATATTTGAAGGTCATGCCAATGTGCATAGTTCACTTGACACTTCAGAATACTTTAGATTGATGATCCACATAAACATCCATGTCCACATGTGCAGTTCAGACACATACCAACTTCCTGCAGCACAGGGACTGCAGGGTTGTTTGCCCGTCCCATTCGATTCAGCAATGTGGTCATTGTCCTGAAGTTGAGCGAAGGCCAGCCAGCACCCCGGGATCAGGAGTTAACCTATGAAACTGTGATGGGAATAGGGATGCATATTTTTTGGGGTTATTTTCTTGAAATGGAGGACCCTAAGAAGGCTAATGTACCCACGATTTTTACTAGTATCAGATGACTCCCAGGTACCCCTTTGAATGAATGGTTCCCTCAAATTCAGCAAAATTGGCTCAGACTTGCTGGTCTCCCTAGTTTCTTGGGGCCATGTCCACATCCGTGGCTGAAGCATGGGAGGGCTCGGCGGATGTTCGGCGCAGAGCCATGCAATTTAAGATTGCTCTTTGGCAAAGACCATATATTTCGATCACTATTTTAAGATAATTTGTTTTATTTGGGGAAACAATTGGACCATATCCATTCAAACATTTGTTCATCTAAGGTGGATCTGGGGCACAAAAGCAAAGTTACCAGAGAGGCCATTGATTTGAATGAGACCCTGTTGGAGACAGTCCTTCAACACCTGGGTTCGCGCGTTGGGGTTGAGTTGGTCTACTTCCATTTGGATGCCTTGTACAAGCTTATGAAGGTCCCGGTGGATAGTTTTATGGCTGGATTAATCATAGATTTTTTTTCCTGGGTGTTGGGGGACCCCCAAACCTGTGAATCAATAATTATGGGTAACAACATGCCTCCCAAAATCTCCTAAATTATTCTTTTTTGCTATGTCACATTTTTCCTAAGGGAACAACCTCCAAATCCAAGCATGGCGAATCAAGCGGCTCCTCTCCGTTTTCAATCGTGTGTCCAGACGGCCCCATCGACCAAGAAGTCTTCCCCTCCGGCGGTTGATGATGGTTGCGGGCATCCCGATCCCTCCCACACCCACACGTGGGTCAGCCCATGATGTAAGTGATTCGGGATCAAGTGATGTGAGCACCACAAGTGAGGAAGAGTCCAGTGTGGAGGAATCTGGCGATGATGATGATGATTACTTGAAGGATCCTGATGCCAGAGGGTCTAACGACCCTCCCCCCCGCACAGCAGGCCATCCGTCCAAAGGTGCCTCAAAGGAGACAGCGTCAGTGGGAGTGCCAGTGGAGGGTCCTGGGGTGAGTGGGGTGCGTGGTCATGGATCAGCATCCACAGGCAGTGTTTCCCCTAGAACTTCGCCTTCAATCATGTTTTCAAAACATTGCAAAAGTGTTTTTTTGGGCACTTGGATGTAAATGGTTTTAATCGGATCAATCATTTTTTCAAGCTGTACCAAATGTTTTTTGGAAAAAACCAAGGATCTATTGTGATTACCCCATCTCCAGTGGTCAAACGCAACCCTGCTGGAATAGTTCATCATTTTTGTTGCTTTTTGAAAACCAACCCAAAAATATATGTAATGACAAGTCCCTATATATAATATATTTGATTTATCATATTCCCCACATACATCTACTTATAACATGTGAGGGCAGCCCCTGGAAAAGTCCATTCAGGTACACCAGGTGGGACACCACCCAAGCACTACCAGCACGATTTGTACAATGTCTTTGGTCACTGGCTGTGCAAACGTTGCAATGGTTCATGCACCAGCATTGAAAAGTTCCAGTCGCTCCCATGCAATCAACAGTATATCGCCAAGTTTGCAGAGGTTGAAGCTCATCATTCATAACATTTCATTTTAGAACATGCATGTTTATATTTCCAAAGTTATCTAGTTTGTATTTCCCAAATCCTTGCTGGGTCTTGCCAGCCCTGCTCTAGCACTGCATAAGGAAAAGCTGAAGAAGATCCAAGCCCAAATGCAAATCCTCATGGAACTTCAGGCTGAGAAGGCAAAGCGTGAGGCAGCTGCGACAGCAGTCCTTGATGCAGAGATTGCATCTTTGCCGTCTCTACCTTCTGCATGTTTTTGGCCTGGGCTTGGCAACATTCTGGCGGTCACCAACTTATATTATTATGGGGTGCATTATGTTAATTAAGTGTATGACTATATGTAATTATAATATATATATAGCCCCATGTATATGTACTATAGCCCCATCTATTTGCCTTCTTTTGGAAACAGCTTATTTTAACCAGTGACAGGCCTTGACACTGACGAGACCCAACCCATGGAGCCTAGTCCCACACAAGTGGACGCCATTGTTAAGACTCTTGCAGGGCCCATGGACCCTGCTTGCAAGCGACTTGACTTTGAGGCTGCTCCTCCTTCTGATCATCGTGATGGCACCAAGACTGACCACGTCATGAACACTGAGGGGACCATTGACAACAAGAAGTACACAGATTGTGGTGACCATGGTGAACTCGCGATTGACCTTGACGAGGAGGACGAAGATAAGGAGGCGACGGTTCATGACAAGAAGGATGGAAATGCAAACCATGTGACAACAGAGACACATTGCCCTGGTAAAGACTTTGTACCAGCTCCTCTACCAGACAAACCTGCTTGTTTGACCAAGTCTTCGGTGGCCCCCATCAGTCCCCAACAGCAGATGCAAGCCGTCAAACCCAGTGGAAAGAAGGACTGCACTGAGACTGATGAGGAAGAAGATCGTCAGATCAAGAAGAAGGAAGAGAGAAAAGCAAAAGCCAAGAGCCGGGCAACTGCCAGGACAGCTGCCAAAAAGAAAGCGAAAGCCAAGGCTTCCAAAACCAAGCCTTCCGTTGACTCCAGCGATAGTGAGGAGATTGCGACAAAAGTGACCAGGAAATCCAAACGGGGAGATTGTGCAGGAGATCACCCTACCAGCAAGTCGACCAAGAAAGCCAAGACCAAGGTGGACACCATTCCTGAGACCACAAAGGACAAGACAAAGAGTGCCAAGGTCAGATCAAAGACCACCCCAAAGGAGAAGGCAGTTGTGACCAAAAGCAACCGCAAAAAGAACCTGCCCAAAGTGGAGACTGAGGGTGAGGGTGATGATGTTGTGGTTTCCAAGTCCCGGAAGAGACGTGCAGCAGCATCAGTGGAGGACGCAGCAACTGCTTCTTCGTGTGTGGCTGCACCAGTGCCTGCAAAGAAGGGCCCCAGCACCAAGAAGAAGGACAAGACGGAGAAGAAGGACAAGACGGACAAGAAGCATGGCAGAAAGTGCGGCAATGGTGGTGATGATCCCAATGACCCGAACCCCAATGATGATGACTCGAATGATCCTCAGAAACTGCGCAAAGCACGATTGAGCAGGAAGAGCGCGGCCTACCATCGAGCCAAGAAACATGCCTTGGACCAAGGCTACAGCACGGAGCAGGCTGTTCAGAAGGCCAAAGAAGTGACCAGGTGTTTTTCAGGACAATTTTCTTTTGTCCCTGGATTACCCCCGTCCAAACTTTTGCAGGTCGGTAAACCATCCAAAGCAACAGAGCCAAAACAAACAACAGGGATACTTTTTACGTAATATATATATATGTTATATATATATATAAATATTATATTAGTAATATATTTATATATATATATATATTGATCCTCTCTATAGTAAAAAATGGGGCATTTTATTGGATAAGTGTTGTTAAATTTACTTGCACAACCAAGGCCTATGCAGAAACCAATTGATCGATGGTTTGCCAGTTTAGCAAGGGTGCTGTTGGTGGATGGAAGATCACCATGGCGCAGTGGTGTCCACACGGATCTTCTTTTGGCATTAGCTTGGGCTTAGGGGTGCATGCAAAGCATGCAGCGTACATATAGATTTAGAAATCCTAGCCATGACCGTGGCTGGGCTTCCCAAGGGAATTCTTGGGATAATCCTTAAGTTGGGTGGAGTGGAATTGCCAAGTAGAAATATTTTAGGCCCTGCACTGGGGTTAGAATGAAACCTGGATGGATCTTCCCCAAAAAAAATCAACATAATGTCCAGTGACAAACATAAGGTGTCCAATGACCAAAATAATATCATATTTTGAATATCAACCACTGTGAGCCCAAAACCTTTTCCTCATGCACCCCCTGGGTCCTTTGGGCCCACTGCCAGCACTGTGCTTCCAACTGAGCTTGCAGGCGGTCTTCGAACTTTGGACTCCATTCGTTGAGATGGAGAGATGGGCCTGTCGGGCAGCTTCATTTGGCTGGGGTGGCCTGTTTATGGGGCATGGGTCAGTATAGTTGCCCATTTGTGCACGTGAGATGTTTCAATTTTGTTGGGGCTGTCTTAATATTGGAGACCATTTAGGGGCCTGAAAGAATTATATTTATGTGGTCACCAATATTGAGACACCCATGGATTGCATATATGTAGCTTTTCTTTTCAAAGCTCACCGTGTTCCACGAAATAGTGGTGGTGGCCATGCCGACTAAGCGATGGGAGTCTCTGATTCCAAATTTGATCCAACTTCAGGCGCCTAAGGCCTGGTTGATGTACATCGTGTGTTGTGTTTTTATATGCATACCATGGTACCTATAAATGAACACATATTTGACTGCTGTCACAAGGTGCTGATAGGATGTGTTCAACCCTCAGCCCAATCTACAGAATGGACATGTTTGCACATCAAATTTCTTTGGGAACCATTTGAACTGCATGATTCTTAGGTCATACTCCTTATGTTCACCGAGGGTGCCGACATGGCTATGCAAACCCAAATGTTTGAATGCTTCTCTGGACAAGGGCATGTTTCAGCTGTCTTCAAGCGAGCTGGCGTGTCTACTGTGAGTTTTGATAGAGAACTCCATCCAGGTAAACGCACAATGGATTTTCTGAGTGAAGGAGGTTTTGCGTCCAAACCTCATTTTTGATTTGACACTTTAATTATCCTCAATGCATGGTCCATGTTGTCCCGGCCCGGCCTTGAGGTTGTCCCTTCTTTGTGTGATGCGACAGTGCCCGGGAGCTTTCAACTTAGTGGCGCCAGATTGCGGATCATGGAGTTTGGTTTCGAGGGGCACATCCCTACGAACAGCTATGAACCCTGTTGGAAGGGAAGCCCTGAAATTTGTCTCCTGTGGAAATGGTACCATATCAAGGCCAGCTTAACCCAATTTTCTATGTTATATAATTTTGATGGGGTTGCAAGATGATCCCAAACTCCTCTAACCCATGTCCCTGCAGGGTGGTTTGCCTACTACTTCTTATGGTGGCGGTCCACGCCATTTGGGTATTGGAACAGCCCCGTGGGTCAGAACAGGTTTTACCACGGCATGCCAGATTTGAATGGCTTTGCAACCACATCTTGTATGTTCTTCAACTGCAACTTCAAAGGGTTATATCGCATGCGAATTCTTAAACAATGAATTTCAATGGTGTTTCATTAGAATCCGGCCCCTTTGCGCCCAAGGTTTGGAAGTCGCCATGTTGGATGGCACACTTTGGACAGAATTGTCCAAAACCATCAATTTTCTGGGGAAATTGCAAGCACATGATCCAGTCTATGGTGGGGGCTGGCCTGTTGATGAACTGGGGCGTAAGATGGATATAGAATTTATAATTATATTTCACTATTGCTTGCCAGGACCAAGGCACCCTTACAAAGGCTCAAAAAGAGAAGCTAGGGCTTCAAACTGTTCGCCGGGAACCCAAAGGATTTTGAACTACATTTCTATCAAACAGTAGCGTTGTCGCCTAGGCAAATATGAAGATTCCAATGGGAAGAAGAGATTTGTGGGGAGCAAATCAGGGTTGAAGCAAAGTGGGTGGTGGCCTTATTTTTGGATTCTCCCAAACAGAAAATGGAAGGCATTATTGGATGTTTTTTTGCTTATATATACAAATTTAATAACCCTTCTAAGTCCTATTATCCTGAAGAAAAAAAACATTCCATAATGCCTTCCAAATCCCAATATATATAAATTATACCTATCCCACCGGTCTGGCCCAGGGTATATACGGAACACCTTGGCTATCACTTCCTGAACACTTGGCAGAAAGTGAAGGATCTCCCAAGGGAATGCCTTCGACAGAAAGCAACGGTGAATACAACTTTGACCGACCGAGAATTGTTTGAGCAATACCCGATGGGGGACCATTGGCCTGAAGCGGAGTTAATACAAGTATTTGCATATCTGTATAGAAACTCCAGACTCAAAATCCCTGACAGCTGGCAAGATACCCTTTCCAACTTCTATTTGGAGGTGTCGGATATAGTTTTCCCCTCAGATACCCAGTTTGTATCATGCATCGGTCCCAAAAGCTGGTGGTGACTAAAGATTGGGGTCCTGACCAGGTCTTGGCTGATGATCCTCACCGAGAACAATTGAGGGCTGCCTATGGTTGGAATGATGCCCAGTCTCAGTCTTCCTAGTCAAACCTGTGGAAACCATTCGTGATATGTATACACGGTGGGAATTTGACGTAATTTATGCAACAATTCGTTGAAATTTGAGCAGAAATCGTACCCAACTCGTGCGCAAAACGGGCGCAAAAACATGTCAAACGGGCGCAAAAACCGTCAAACGGGCGCAAACCCAGATTTCTGCTCATGGAGGTTTTTCACTGCATTTAGATTTTCGAACATTTTCCGACCATCTTGAACTAAATCCCTTAAGATTTGGATCAAAATCGAAGTTGGTTGGCATGGCTAGTACAGAGCCTGATAGACTCCGTTCCTGTACAACTTTGACTACTGGAATCCGGATGATTGATGGTCAGCTTGGAGGGCTAGATACGTCGAAGCTGGATGAGCAAATCAGAGTTGCCAGAATGCAATTTTACCATGACTCCACAAATCAAATTGTCGTTTCTTTTCCCACTATTTTGAAAGACTTCTCCCCTGTTGTTTCCTGCTGCCGTGCTTGAGGCTGCCACGGAAAAGTTGCAGTCCATGCAAATGGAGATGGGCCTTACGTCAGGTATGGACCCTCAGGGTTCAGTTGGAGGACTGTGATAAATTCTACTGATATGCACCACGGGTTTTACTACACATTTAACTGAAGATCATAAAAAAAAACAGGGATATGTATTTATAAATTCATTACATATGCTAGCTATAGGTTATATATATATATATATTATAGAAAGGTGACTGTGACTAGGATGCAGGTGAGTGTAGGTGTAGGACATGACATGCAGCTATGCATGGTGCTGGTGTGCAGGACCTGTGCATGAGTCCCTGCAAGCTGGTCGGTTCATGCCTGGGAATGGGAACTTTCCCATTGGGAAAATTGGCGAGAAGGATTTGAAGTTATTCCGTACCCGTAGTGAGTTGCCGGAACCTGAAAACAAGCCTGGTGACACTAGGAAGCCTTCTGGGCCTGTGAATGATGAGGTAGGGGACACTCTTCGGGATGAGTCACCAGCTACAACCGTTCCAGGCCATCCAGCAGGTGGCAAAAGTATGCCTCCGCCACCCCCACCAATGTCTACCAGGTCCAGTCCACCATCCCCTGTTTCGAGCTTGAGATCTATGGGCACTTCTAGTAGCGATGTGAAGTCCAAGAATTCTACGAAGTATGACAAGTACAAGGATGGCAGCTACTGGAAGAGACTAAATAGCACCAAGAATATACTATGTTTCATCCAATATGACTATGCTTTATCCAATGGATCGGATTAATTAAGTTTGCAATCCTAGGATGCGCCGCTATTTCCGACCTGACCATGGAGAACCCCAATGTAGCAAGGAGGCTTTGGACATGTACAAGGATCCAGCCAAAAGAGACATGTTTGCATGCTTCATGCAGTGTATCTACGATATGACCCCCAAACAAATACTGCTATATAAATAACCTGGCAATTATGGAAGTAGGCATCTACTACTGCTTGTATGCCACTTTGATCTTTTTGGTGCAATGCATGTATCATATGTCCAACCTTTGGGTTCCATTTGCATTAAGGAGAGAAACTTCGAGAGATGTTCTTGAAATGCGGGAGTTTCGGGAAGCTTGAGCTAGAGGTTGCCAAGATGAACCGGCAAACGGCAGCTAACACCTTGATGGGAGGTTGGCATAATGAGGTGTCCCTGAGAGAGATTAAGAAATGGGACGCGTAACCTAGCTGCATGTAATCTACTCAAATTCATGCAAAACATGTCTAATAGCTTCATTTCGCTCATACAGATTCCTGACAACCTAAGGGACATGATAGCTCACTCGAAAGAGTGGGCGCGAAGTCGTGGTCTTCTGCAGAAGAATGAAGTTCATGGAAAAGAGGAATGGAAGATCCCAACTGACCGGGAGTTCATGTTCAAGAATGAAACCGAACAAAGTTCTACAGCTCGTGGCTCCATGGAAGTGGAGGACTATTCAGATTTAACGATTTGTGAAAAACGTCAGCTCCAGTACTGGTTGATCATTTTTTAATGCGATAGTTGGATCTTCAGGACAGCGATGGCACTCTTTTTCTGAATGAAGTCACTGAAGAGTATGCTCTGCGGACTTTTGGCTAGTTTATATATTATGCATGGTGCATGCTATGCTTTTGTCGTCTCAAAGATGTTTTCAGAGTCTTTATCTAGAATGCTTTGGAGAGATGGTTATAGTTAAAAAAGGCTGAGCTACATAGATCCATATAGACGGTAAGAATCTTATTGTCTATTTGTGGCATCCACCACCTCCAAGGACTGGTACTTCAGGTGAGGAAACCAACCACGCCCAGACTGGTGCAGTCGGTGCTGCGGCCAATGCCAAGACATTGGCATTCCCTGTGCTTCAGACCAACCAGGATGTATACAGTACCTAGGTGAAATCTTTATTTTTAAGGTGCTGTTGCCATCATCTGCCATCTTTTCACTAATCTCAACCTCTCATCTCTTTGTGTTGCCTGAGGTCTCTTGGCAGTGTATATCGAGCTCTCTGGAAAGAAGGTTGATAAGACAACGGAACTTGAGGCACAACCCTCTTTTGCTCAACCTTTTTTTTGAAATCCTAGTACTATTTAATCCACCCACATGTTTTTTTCAGCCGACCCCTTCCCTTGGCAGGACAAGCTGAAGGCGATGAATCTTGACCGAGCCACTGAGTGTCTTGGCAAAGACCAACTTGGTGGCCTGCAGATTCAGCCAATGACGTTGCAATTCATAATAGCTTTACTTAATCAAGAGATTTATATCCTCACTTAGGATGGCAAAAGAACTGGAAACCAAGCGACTTGACATGGAGAATCTCTACAAGAAGCTCCTGCAGCACCAAATGGATACCATGTCAGCCGACACCCCCCCGTCCAGGACAGATCAATGCCCTGTCTTTGCCCTTTAGGTAGGAACCCATATAAATCCATCTAACACTATTTTTATTTGTGTTCAGGAGTGAGAAGAAAGCCTTGCTTGCCCTCTATGTTGACTGCACGAAAGTGGACACGGCTTTGAACCACCTGACCTCTCGGGCCAGGACTATACTGACTAGCATGTCACAATGCGCATGTACATTCGTTTGGCAATCAACATTCTGCAACTTGTGTGAAAAACTCACATGTTCTAGGAGCATCAAGCCACCGAAGGCTGCCGATGCCAAATCAAAAGCTAGCAAGAAGGACAAGGACACAGGAAAGAGCAAAGACAAGTCCAAGGACACAAAGGAAAAGCACTCAAAGGAAAAGCACTCGAAACGTAAGACGCGCAAGACTGCCCCTGTGAAAGATGAGGAGGTAGAAGAGCCTAGGAAGTCCAAGAAGAAGAAAAGATCATGATGGTCTTTAGATTTAGCTATATAGCTGTTTTGACTTTTGACTTGAGCTTGCATGCGTCCAGTAGATGCACAAGCAACTGGGGTTTCGAACGTTGTGCAATGAGTGCACACAAACATGCCGCCTGGGGAAAAGAAAACTTCTTGCAAACATGCCAGAACTTTCAGTTCAATGCTTTGGTATGCTAGCTCAAAGAGGAAAAAAAAAACATGTTTTGTTACGGTTATGCCAGGTTCCTCTTTGCCATCCTCCAGCGCTTCTTACTTGGGAGGTGAACTTGGTTGTTGACTGTGTTTTGCACTGGGCTGACCTCCTCTTAAGTCCCAACATGTCCCAACTCTGTCCTCGCCTCCTGGAACAGGTGTTGCGCAGCAACAAGAAGACCTGGACCTTGACAAGGAATTTGGTGAAGCATTAATTGGCGACTACTTTTCTGGGGTTTCTCAGGGTTGCATATATGCACATGTGTGTGTATGCATTCCTTTTACCAGTGGGAACACCTGAGACGTTTAGCATATCTTAAGGCTGAAACGGCTGAAAGAGTATGTCGACTTGCTAGTCTCTCTGCTAGACTTGGAAAAGGAAGAACCTAGGCTGAAATATAGCATGAATTTCTTGGAACTTCCTGGAGTTTAGTGGTTGGTCTTGATGCCTCTTTATCTACCATCCCTTACCCGAATTCTTAGGACAATTGGATTTGCTCAACAAGATTGCTTCTGCTGGCCGTTCGCAGACGAATGCCTGCCGCAACCTTCATTCCCTCATTCACAGGGCTGGTATCATCTTGCCCCTTCGAATTCACACCGTTGAGATTCCAGTGAGACGGAAAAAACCCAAGCTTCGCAAACAGTGGGTGCACTATCCGGTGATTCTTCCAAGGACATGGGTGAAGTACTTAGTGGAGCACCATAGCCGTTTGCTGCTTGGGGGTGCAACGTGACCGAGGTGTCCTCATGGAAGGGGGAATTGAAAAAGTTTTGGGACCTGTACTTGAAAGTTGACAAGGGGCATCCCATGAATGATGGTGGTCCTCCTCGGGAACAAACAATACCTCTATATATTCATGGAGATGAAGGTCGAGGAAAACGCTTTTCGCCCATGATGGTGGAGTGCATCCAACCGGCTATTAGCTTTAGAGGTCCCAACTTCAAGAACTCGTCTGGGTATCCCATCAGCTTATGGTAAACTTTTTGGCCAAGTTTTATTTAAAAAGTTGTCATTTCATGTGTTTCCCAGCTTTGAGGATCCAAATTCTAAAAACCATCATGGTAGCTAATCACATCCAAAAATATAAATCATTGGTACCCATCCCGATTGATTTGAAATGGCTAGCCCAGGCACTCGATGTGCACCCGCTTCCTCTATGCAGTGCTACCATCAGAACTCTATTGGGGAGACCAAACCCTGAGATACTTGAACCAATTCTTTGCTGACGACCTGTTGAAGCTGTATGAGGAAGGGATCCAAGTTTCTTGTTTGAAGTAGGGGCCCCAATCTTACATGATTTAATATATTCAGAATATTATCCTGCTCCATCCTGTTTCCCAGGTTGCCGGGCATCAGATCTATGCATGCGTGATTGGTGTCAAAGGCGATTGGCCTTACCTGCGGAAGGCGCGCGTGGTGGGATGTCCTTGGAACATGTTAGAAAGGCTGCCCACTATTCAGTCCAGAAATTAGTCCCCATCATCAGTTTCTCCCAGGCCCTAGCGTTGAACTGTGGCTACAACTGCAAGAGGCTTTGCCACCTATGTAGTGGTAATGTATCTTGACTACTGATTTGCTGGGTTTCTCAAACTCGGGGCCCCAAAAACTTGAATTATGCGGGTGTCAAATGAATTTGGGCCCCCCCAAAACTCAAGTGATCCTGGTGTCAAATCAGCCTGCTGTAACCCTTTTTTTGGGTCTCAACATTTTAGGACTTGACCAAACATTCTTTGATCTGAGGATTGGTTTGACATGCGGCCTGATGCACCATGGAAGTTGGAAACTCTAGAGGACTGCGACAGTCCGTACAAGCCTGGAGGTACGCCGTTCTTTGTGCTTCCAGGGTTGACCTCACCAGCCCGGGTGATGATCGATTCGGCACATACGTGGCATATAGGGAACCCTAACTAAAATTAGCTGAAATCATACTGATCAGATACAACCTTTTTGTCTCCTTGACTTAAACCATTGGATCTTAACTCAAATAATTAGTCAACCAACTAAGGATTGGGAAAGACTTTGTGGCATCAGCAATTGTGCTGTTGGCAAAGCTGAAATGTTTCCCTGGCAGATCTATTCCCTCCCGACTGCACAATGCATGGAAGATGTACATCCAGTGGTGTCACAAGAATGGGAAAAACACCAGCATCGAAGACTTTTCATTGAGGGAGTTCAAAATGAAATCGAATCGTTTTTTTAAGACTGCAAAATCCACTAGAAGATCGAAAACATTCTCTGTGTGCTGGTAGCCCCTTCTGTGCAAGGAACAATGCCTTTCCTACAGCTCATGGAGGCAAAGGTGCAGACACTGCCATCGTGAGTGGTTGGTTGGAGGATGTGATGGAGGGGATGGTAACTTGGTGAAACATCCAGCTCATCTGTTGGAAACAAGATGTCTTAAAGAATATCGAGGTCTAAAATCAAAAATCTAATGCCACTTAGGATTGTAGCAGAAGTTTGTTCTTGCTTCTCCAGTATGGTGTGCGCTGCAGCAATGCCTTGTACCGACTGCTGCATTGGCGTGGGTTGTGGCTGGAACCGCATGAGACTGGTTACGCTGCTGATGCATTCCTAGCGATGACAGAGCCCTGGCATGTTCACGCAGTGTCCATGTAAGTGTCAGCTGTTAGTCTTGTGTTAGTGATACTTGGGCTGACCAAGGAAACATATAGCGAACTTGCTTCACGGTGCCACCAAAAGAACCTCAACTTGTTCTACTTGAGGCCAAAACTTCACATGTCAGCCCATGAGGGGCTTCTAGGCTTGCATATACCTGGTCTTCAATGGGGCTGCTTGTTTTTATTTTTGACCAGTGGCTAGAAGTTTTTAAAAATGCAACATCCTAGTTGATGAGGCTGAAACTTGAGGAAGCGCATGACCTTCAAGTTCACGGAGTCAATCCGTTGAGTGCTGGTCTGAGTGATATGTTCAAAATCAAAGATCTGTCCATTTCCAGTTTGGGAATGCCTGCGTGTTGCTTGCACTAAGACTACAGCTGCTGGCAGGATGAGGATTTTGTTGGGCGGACTTGTAGAGTGGCAAGGTCTAGCGGGACACATGCTCTTAGTTGTGCTCTCAGGGCCACCCAAAAAATGTTGGGTGAGTACCGCAACCAGCTAATAAAGTTGGAAGGCATCAACAACTGGAGCTGAGGGTCAGGCTCAAAATGTTGATCTCGCTGTGGTGCATCATGAGCGCACATCAGGGTGTGAAGGGACATGGGTATATTGGGGGATTTTGTGGAACGGGCAAACTCGTGCAATCTCGGGCAGTTTTCCATGAAACGAGCAAGAATCCCAGAAACGAGCAGAAATCCAAAACGAGCAAGAATTTTAGCCCCTTTGAATCCCCAGGTATATATATAGATATAATATATATATATATATACCTGGCTGATTCTGTCTTCCAATCATCACTTGAAGCCTTTTCCAGAATGGTATCCTCAGAATTCCAAAGCACCAATCCAAACCTCGGGTTGATTCCTTTATCCTATTGGATCCTATTGGCTCATCAGCTATGAAATTTTCATCAGCCGCTGGGCGATCCAGGACGCCTCTGAAGAGCTAAATCCACTTCGTAGGCAATGGTCTCCAACCTCGTGACAGCTAAGCTGACACCTGGTGGAACTGGTGATCCAAGACTGCGCTTGGAAATTGGGGCTGATCCCAAGAAGTGAGGGAATGATTAGAGGTAATTCAAGTTAGTTGACACGTCACGTGTATCACATCTGAAATCATTCTCCACCCGAGGACTTCGACCCCGATCTGGGCGCAACTGGAGAAACCCGAGAAGAAAAACTACGTGGGAACTCATCCCCGCAGCAATCCCCGATTGTTTTGACGAAACATGTCGGCTGCATACTCCAATAGTCTCCCAAACATCCTATTTCAATGGGGAAATGATGCTCAACCATATGGAGCTTTGGATGATTTTGGGCATACCCGAGCACCCAACGACAGCGCGGCTTTTTCGATCCGACATGACTGAGCTGCTAAGCAGCACAGCAGCAACGCATCTTCCGTGCCATCAGGCATCGGAGGACTCCATATCCTGCCTCCTCTTTACTATAGCATACTATAGGGATTCAAAAGACATAAAGAAAAGTCTGCCCAAGAACTCAACTTTGCTGAATGAGGGAAATAATGTGTATTGCATATTTTGAAACATTCAGACTTCATTTGCAGCTTCGAGAACAGTGTTAAATTTCAATTGACAATGGTGTTTCTGTTTCTGGCACAGTGGATATCAGCCCCTATGACCAAGTCAAATTGGATCAACGAAACCAACCGCAGGAAATCACATAGATTCGTTCTATTTTCAGCGTGTTTTCATCAAAATTGATTGTTGCATCTTGCTTCACCTTAGCATTGAATTCAGAGCGCCAAATAGATTGGCCCTCAGCTCTCATATTTGGCCCTTGAGGCCCCTGGCAGCATGGGCTTGCAGAAGTGCGTGGGGCAATCATGAGCACAACTGACATGAATGGAGACGTCTCCAAAGTTGATTCCCGGATTCCCTTGGCTGTCAATTGAACATGGCCGTCAAATGCATCAATGATGGAGTTTTCCTTGTGTTCAGAGCTTGGATGGTCGTTGAGAGAACATGAGACTACATCCAGTGCAGGACTCTTTCAGCAGTCTCCAAGGACCACAATGACCATGTGACGGGGAACACCTGGTCAAGCACATATGGCCTCATTTGGTTTCACTTGAAGTCGAGGAGTTTGTGTATACATTTGGTGTGTACAAACTGTGTGTATTTGACATACTTTGCAAGCTGTTCCATGGAAATATATTAAATATATTGAAACATATGTCCAATATATATAATATATCTATATCTATATCTCTGCATCTATCTATCTATCTATCTATACGTATATACGTATATTAAAATGTTCGATATTTTACATATATTTTAAGCGTTTCTATATATTGAAATTGTATGAAGCTCCGACTTTTCCCTCTTGGCTCATCGCCTCCAAGCAGAACTTCACCACCAGCTGCCACCCCAGGCACCCCAAAGGCTCGTCAAACCGCCACACACCGGGGTCTCCACGTGCTGGTGCGGAGCATTTAAAAAGACCTTGATGGTGGAGAGGGTTAGGTAAGCTTAAGATATGTTAACTAAATCTAGTTAAAAATTAAAATATGTTAATTAAGAATATCAATATATATATATATAGGTAGCAGTCAAGTCATGGCAACATATATGGAATGGTTCGAAACTTTGGATCTCTGAAGTCTACACGAGCATCTCTTGCATGCGCTGCCTCGTCACTGCTGCCATTGTCCGACTTGACATCATCATGGCCGTTGTACGGCAAAGTTGGAAGCTTCCTGGGTTGAACGGAAGCAGCTGAGCGCCATCCGCCCATCAATGCAACAACTCATTAATGTGGCAAACCCGATGGTAATCCCAAGTGGGTATGATTGACAGCAACCCTCAAAAGTCTTGGCTATGCGTCTTACCACAGAAATTGAGTGCCAGACATGACATACAGTGGCTTCTCATTACTGATGGAGCTTTCAGAAGGTTCCCCTTTTCGGAGCTTCATGAGACTGGAAAAGTCCTGGAGAGTGAAGTGAATCGCTGGATTGGGTTCAGGGAAAAAATGGCAGAAACTTACAGCTGAACCATTGGTTTTGCACATGTCTTTCTTTTGCTACAAACAAGTGGGTTGCCAGAAAAGTCCTGATACTGTAGCAACAAAAAAAGGTGCCAAACAAAAAATGCTAAGCATCTTGCCGATTGCCATCAAAAGGGTATATCATGGCATATCCACAAAAAAAACAACAGTTCACACCTGCATGAACTTTCATGTTGCATTGAGTATCCCTGGCACGTTCCTGCGATACTTGATTTGGCCCATGATGTGGCCACAGCTCAGGCATAGTCATCGTCTGCCTCAGCAGTAACAATTTCCAATTTGCATTCCTACACATCTTGGGGACGTGCCGAAAGTGAGTGTGAAGAGTGGCCCTGACCTTTGAAATCCAACGTCCGCCAGGCTTTCAGAGATGCATTGGGACAAGGTGCGTTTTTGGGAAGCGCAAGACCTACATACTTCAGTCCCCAGCATCATTGAGGTGCACGTGAACCAACTAAACATCAACACCCAAAATAAATTCAACATGAACCCCCAAAGCCACCAATTTAATTTGGTGGTTCCATGTTCGTTTTCAGGAGGGTAGCCAGGAAGGTAGCTGGCACGTGAATTGTTCACCCCGAGGCCATGACTGCTTCAGGAGCGGAGAATTGTGCCCTGCTGAGTAATATCCGTCCTCCAAACGGCTGAGGGGACGTTGGCAAGTTGGGACAAGCTGGCAAACGGTTTGTTCAAAGTCAAACAAAAATAAGCCTTGCCTGACTCCCAAAAACGCTTGTAATAACTGATTCTTAATAGCGATGGGCCTTGCAGAAGAAAACAGCTGAAACCACCCTCTCCACTGCTGTACTGCAATCCGGGGAAACCAAGCATGGCAATGCGAGCGCCGAGCACGGTCCTCAAGGGACCTCCTTACTAGGAACAGAATGTACGCACTTTCCCCAACCACTGGCTCGTCAGGGGGCTGTCGTGATACTCTGTCGTCCTTGGATCGAAAATGCCAAGCAGCTGCAATAATGATAAGTCATGAATTGACTTAATTTATTATTAATTAACTGATTAACTGTGCCTCTTTTCGGCTCAGGTGGAATACCTCCAAAGTGGTGCGGTACCAGCCTCTCACTCAAAAAGGACTTAGAATGGGAGGAAGAGACAATTGTATACTATTATAACAATGTGAAGACATGTAGAGATCAGAATCCCAGTCCCATTCCCGCACACCGGTACCAAAATGATCTTGCAGCATAGCAAGCCATTCCTCCACCACGATTTCAAGCCCTGTCGCCAAGGGTCATTGAACCTATACCACATATCGCCAACACGGCAGGTAGCAGTGTAGTGTCCCATGCTGTAGCCCCCGGAGTGGTTTGCCACGCAAGCCACTGAGTACAGTGCGCCCTGCTGCTGCTTTGAGGAACAGAAACCTCGGAGTTCAAGCGATGAGTCACTAGGTATCACCGGGTACAATTTGCTTTGTGCGAGCTATCGAAGCATTGTATCGCGCATTGGCTGCGCCCTGGTGCTATGGGATGGTACCAGCTGATGCTATCAGCATCCAAAACTACACCCCACCACCCATGGCTGAAATCATGGGGGGCGGCGTTGTCGTGGATACACTACATTACACTACGCAAATTCAACACCATTTATAATATAGACCTGAGCAATGGGTCGTGAGCACTGTCCATTTCCAATACATTGAGGATACATAAAGATACATGAAAAGTATTGAAAACTCATCTTTCCATCTCTCAAAGCCCACAGTTTCTTAGCCACCTCAGCTGTTGCTGTTCCCATCTTTCGGGGTGTCGGTGTCAGGCTTGGACCTCCACCGTCGGACGGGCCGCTTGAAAGATCGGTGGTCAAATCGCAAGCTAATGGAGTGGTGATCTTCCGAAAGTAGCCCGAGCGCACATCAAACTCGAAACCTGAGGCCATCAACAACTAAGCCAGACATAGACACATCATGCCAAATCAAACATCCAAATGGTGTGATGCCTTCATGCTTTGGTTGAGAGGGGATTCTTCGGTCATGGTGATTTTCGTGAATCTCAGGGACCTATATCAAAATGCGAGAAAAAACCCAGCTGTTCCTACCATGATCCATCCTGGGTTTCCACAACATGGAATATGTATGAGTATGTCACTATCACTATCATATACTAGCATTATATCAGTGTTAGACATGGAATATATCGATATATCATGACATATCATACTGCATCACTTTTTTTTGGTAACGTGGAATAAGCCATGGACATCCGTGGACACATCGGACTCGTTCTGCCAGGCCACGCTTCAGGTGAATCACCAGTACCGGTGGCAGCTGCCAAATGTCGATCTTCTTTTTCGCATCGACTTTAGCCTTTTGCCCATCCAACGAAGCACAATGGAAAATCACCATTTTCTAGCTGGATAAATTTAATAAATCAACTATTTAACTATGGTCATGTTCAATAGTTATTTCTGGTAATGGCTGACATAGCTATTGAACATGGCCATAGTTAAATAGTTGATTTATCATCATTTATCCATTAAAAATGGTGATTTTCCATAGGTATGTCACGTCTGTTAGTTTACCGGAGGGTAATTCAACAACACCCAAGGGAAAAAACAAGGTTTTGGGGTTGCATTTCTGCTGTGCAACCTGGTCCTACCCCGCGATGCAGGCACCTTGCACTTCTCGCACTTCCACTTTTCATCGTCCGAGAGCACCTCCTCCTGTACAGTGACAACCCCTTTGTGAAACAGGATCACCAAAAGAACACATCACATATATATAATTATATATATAATAACATATAAAAATAAAATATGTATATATATATATATATATGTTGCAAGTCATCACCAGTCCGTCATCCCAAATCTTCGCTCCTTGGTGTATTCCCGCATGGCATCCGAAACGCTGCACATCTCCTGCTTCACCTCGGTGCACGGCCGTGCACTGCCTACTGAGCCCACTGAGCTCCCCCCAAAAAATGGGGATGTCCAACAAAGAATTGAAATGTGAGACATCAATAGTGATCTATTATCCAACAAACTATAATAATAATAGAAACTATTTTCAGGATAACCCCCAGAAACTATAATAGATCTATAATGGTAGATAATATCCAGTGATGGTCATATAACATACATACGTGTATATATATATATATATTTAACGATCAAATATACTGGTTGGTGGTTGAGCCCCACCCCTCTGAAAAATGATGGAGTGAAAGTCAGTTGGGATGATGACATTCCCAACTGAATGGAAAGTCATAGGACATGCTCCAAACCACCAACCAGTAATGGATGTGAAACATAAACAAAGATTGGGCACCAAAAAGGTTGAACACTTGCCATTGGATCCATTGGTTAGAAACTTTGGCTGACTGAAAAACTATCTGAAAACCGTGAATTTTTACGGAGCCAAACGGAGCCAACAAACGATGGTCCGATGGACAGCCACACTTCTGGGATGCTCCGCTCCTTCAGAACGTGAACCCAATATCATACATTGCATTCTCTCGACTGATCAAGAAATAGAGGGTAAGCCCAGTAAGCCCAATGCCATTGCTGAGCATTTCTGAGTCTGTTCGCTCGTTGAGTTTCGGGTGGTTCTCTGGTGTCCTGCAACATCTACCAAGGTGCCGGTAAAGAGAGGTACATGAACGGCTCAAATTTCCTGCGACCGATCGATCAAATATGATCAGATCAACAGCTTGTTCAAAGGGATTCAGAAATTAATTCATGCGTGCATTGACCATTCTTTGATGTGTCATTGATACATGGTTGATGGATGTTGATGGTATGTTGATGTTTCATGATGGTTCATCATTTTTGATGAGAACACCAAAAAACACCAAACCATCCCTAAGCACCAGGCTTCCAAGCAGACTTGAGCCATCCTCAAAGGATCTAAGTTCCATCTCCATACACTGCTTGATGGCTATTCCACAGGCTAGAATCACTTTCCATGTGACACACCTGGATAAGGCGAAACCTTATGACACCTTGGCATGCCCGTCATGGCACAACGATGCACAAGGGCTCCCCATGGCTCCGCCACCTGGATTTATGGCCACAGCGCAAGCAGCACAGCGAGGATCGCAATTGGCCTTGCATTAGATCCACCAGAAACGACTTGGAGCGTTCCAGGTAGCGCATCCAAGCCAGGGCAGCCGCCTGGATCAAAGGTCCAAGATGAAGCCATTGTTGAATCTATTTAGAACATGGTTTGACATACATGAGATATCATGAGATATCATGAGATATCGACACTTAGTCTGATTTACAATGATCTATAGCTGGCAAATTCTTCCTCTACAAAATACGAACAATTACCCTGTTTGAACTGTCACTCAAACTCCCTTGGACGCCAAGGCACAAATTCTTCGGAACGGCCTTGGCAGCTCTTCTCATCCGCTTCTTCGTCGGCTTCCGTCCGCGGCGGCAACTGCTCCGAAACGCGGCTCAAGTCCTTTGACAGCAAGTAAAGAAAACACCAGCTCCATGAATGTCCTCTTGTAGTCCAATAAAAATCCTTATAGATCTATGGACTATAAAAATATCCATATATCGTATTCATCGTATTCATCAGTAATATGTGAGCTTGACATTTGCTGCTTTCTGCTCTTGCCAAGATGGTGCAGAGATAGGCACCGTCCAAGTCTGAGCTGCCAACCTCGTGCAAGCCGTCTAAGCAAAAGGCCAGAAACTCCTGGCATCCAAGCTCCGCAGGTCATGGGCTGTCATGGGAGCAAGGCAGGCAGAGATAATTGGTACTGGTTGGGAAATGAGCACCCTGGTAATCAAAATTGGCAATGGAAAATACTAATATATATATATATATTTATTCATTGATTTAATTGTATTTAAAAATGATTTCCTATTGAAGTAGATTAAATCACCCATTCGTAGAGGGTTTCCCATTCAGCCATGTTTGACGACACCGGCTATCTTCAAGTCCCGTCCTGGACGTCCTGTTGCTGATAGCCCTGGAACAAGTGCGGGGCGATCGTGGCCAAGCGCCGTTTGATTTCGCTGGGGTTCCTGGTTTCGCGTCGTCAGCATTGAGAATTGGAATCAATCATCCCATGAAGGTGGAGAAAAACATGAACAACGATTCACAGTCACATCGTATAAATTCCATCCTTATTACCCTATTTATTTTCCCAATTTTATATATTTCCCTATGTGTTTCCCCTTTTATTCGCCTATTTCAAATTTCTTTCCGTATCTATTTCCCAATGTAATTCTATGTGTAATTTCCTGTATTTCCCTATGTATGTCTCTATTTATTTGCATATTCATTTCCCTCTGTATTTCCTTGTGTATTTCCCTATTCCCCTATTTATTTCCCTATTTATTTCCTTATGTATTTCCCTATTTTCCATTATCTATTTCCCTATGTATTTCCCTGTTTCCTTATATATTTCCTTATGTATTTCCCTACGTATTCCCCTATGTATTCACCTATTGATTCCACTATTTATGTATGTCCCTTCAAATTTCCCCATTTATGTACATATTTGTTGTCCCATTTTTCTTTCTTTCTCTCTCTCTCTTATTATCCCATTTCTCTATCTATTTTACTGTTTATTCCTGAATTTATTTATTTATTATTTATTCGCCTATTTACTTCATTTTTTTGTTTTATTTATTCATCTATTCATTCCCTTATTCACCTATTTATTCCCATATGTATTTCCTTTTTTATTTGCCTATTTATCAGCCTATTTTTAATTTCACTATTTGTTCCTTAATTGATTAATTTATCTATTTATTCCCGTCAAGGATGTTGCCGTCAAAAAGCGTTAACACCATTCAAATCAGTGCAAATCCAATAGGCACAGCCACAATTGCTACAACCTGGAGAGTTTCTTCCAACGGTATGACAACACCGAAAAATCGCTACGACCTGCGCCTAAGGCTTTAAGATCCCACGAAAATGGTGCTGAGGCAGCGAAGTATCTGTGCTGGCCGCTCGCTTTGCCACAGGACCTGACGTTAGCCACTGGTAATCTGCCCTAGTAGTGGGATTTCCCGTTTATTATGATATGTGAATGAATATATGTACAATTAACTGTATACATTAAAATTAGAGATTTCAGATGTAACTATCATTTGTTGTTCAAGTATATGCATCACTGATGATGTTCCTTGAAAAACAACATATTGTCGTGAATGATTACCGGAAGATCTCTTTCTCCATCGCCCTCTCTGACAGTTGCCGGAAGATATCAGCAGCATTTTTTCATGGGGCATGGGCAGAAAGTGGCAGAAAGTCTTACCATCGCAATCGCAACTGGGCAATGAAACCACCTGATAATCCTCGTCTTTCACCACCTTCTGAGTCTATTCCATGACAAATCTGATAAGTTGGTGAAGTAATGACTCATCACCATGATTCATTGGATCCTGATCACCCCCATAGATGTCATCGTCATGCCCATAGATTCCCTAATGTTGATGTGTCCTGCTATCCTGCTACCATGCCATTGCCTTTCTGGTCAAATCCTTATCTAAATGCATCATATACTGTTACTTGGGGAAATCCAGAAAGATTTGAAGGATACCCATATCCCATAAACAACTAGAAGCGCAATTTGTAAGGAAACAACTCTGAACCACACATTTTCAGGAAAGCACCTTCTGGAGCTCTGCAAAGGTTTCTGCCAACTGGCCTTTGGAACCCATCCGGTTGGTCGCGTTGATTTCCCCTGCCAGGCTGATCCAAGGCAACATGCCCCAGGGGATCGGGATTCAAGGGACCCATCTGAGGTGGTCATGGGCCATGGGTTGTTTTTTTCATGGAGATTTCAAGGGCTCCATAGGGCTCCAGCTGTTCGTTGTCCAGAATGATTTGTGGTGACGTTTGGAGTCTGGAGGTTTGGATTTTGATGGCGAGATCTGGCGATTGGAGGCCAGACTGACAGAGCATCCAAGTTGGAATGAAGATCTACACATCAATCCCATAGGATCCATGTATGCTATATATGGTAACATTTACCATCAATATACCCCAAATGTTAGCATATATACCATAGATGGATCCTATGGCACTATGGGCATGTTAAATCTCTTCGGAGGACCCCAAAAACCAGTCGACATCTTAAAACTTTAGCAAGCAAAGAAGCGCAGAATTGGCGGGATCATCCATCCCGTAATTTAGATGTCAACCCCATACCAGGCATCAACAACAAACAACAACAAGTCTGAAGGTTCCGACTTAGTATAGTAAACATTAATAAATATATTACCCTCTGGTAAACTAACAGAGCTATTGAAAATGGCCATTTATAGTGGATTTTCCCATTAAACCTGGTGATTTTCCATAGCTATGTTAAATTACCAGAGGGTACATATCGCAAGCATATCAAATAGTTAACCAAACCACGACATGATCCCCGCCTTTGTATCTACCACTGAGAAAGAAGGCCGCGAATGGCTCGATGTGGCTGAGACATTGCCTCAGGTCGGATCGTCTCAGATTCGGTTGAAGTCTGGACGCTGGGAGATGGATTTCGGGGTCCACATGTCAGGAACGAAAGATCAATTGGGTCCCGTTTGCATATTGGAATCTAACAGAAATGATGTAATATCATGTAATATCCATATCGTACACACACACACATATGTATATATATATATACAATTATATACATATGTACGTATGTGATATGTACGTATGTGTTATACAATAATATATATATATATACACGTGAGGGTTGCACTGTATTGCAATGATCTTGCATCTTGGAGATGGCCCACCCAGGGGAATGACCTGGCCAAGCCCTTTATCAGCCCATCCAATCAGCGCAGCCAAAGAGGCAAGCCAGCATTCATGAAGCAGGTATTTCCAAGATTCTCCAGGCCCACCCTACCTGTCAGGATCTGTCATGACACTATCAAGGCTGATATCAAGGCTGAATAAGGCTGATCTTGGCACCTGCGGGCAACGTCCCTGATGAGAGTGCAGGTTTGACATCCCAATCATCATCAAAGTACGGAAACGAGCAACCCCCCCAAAACATCCCAACCAAACAGCCTTCTGCCCAACCAAACGATTTATCAAACTGCCAGCCAACCTGTGAAGGAACCCAAAACACTGCCATTCAGGACAGAAAGGAACCCAACCAAAAGAGACTGCAATGGGCAACAAGAAGAATCAACCAAACACACACACACAACCTGTCCAGATCAGCATCAAAACAATAGTCTCAACTAACATCAAGTCACCACAATCGACATCATAATTAACACCAGTACGACTCACGTGATATAAAAACCCATTATAAAGTCAAACAACATCAATGATATAACATCAACTAACATCAATCAAGTATACAGTGTCATATCAAGATACTGTAAATCAAGCATATATATATATATATACTTAGGATATAGTACCAGTATAATCCAACCATCCACCTACCTATAATCTTGATTATACTTTATATATATATAATCCAACCATCTAACGCAGCACCTGCTCGTCTGGCCGATCGGATGTTGCCCGGCTCATCCAGCTGCGGAGGAGAGGCCGCCTCCCCAGCAGTTGGAGATGAAGAACTGGGAAAACATAGGGAAAATCATCGATCAAAATGATTGACATATTATGATATATATATAGATATGATCATTATGGTTCAAATGGTGTCTATAACAATGGATCATAGAGAAAACATTGATCAAAATGGTTGACCTTCCCTATGCTATATGATCATATTGATCATTATATGATCATTATATATCATTATTATAATCTACTATTATTATCTATACTGTTAAATCTGTGTGAGTCTATATTCGCAACATTTTTTACTGGAGGATAGCTGTTTGGAACCAACTCTTGGGCGCTTCGCTACATGTTGCCAACTCCGCGGCTGGTTTGAACAAATCGCGTGAGCATTGGGCAAGGTTGGTCAAATTCCTGGATAGTGAACCAGTAGTCACAGGAAAACAGCGCGCTTTTGCAGCGAAGCGTGGCATATCCTACCAACATCTGTCGCAGCCAGAGCAAGGTCTCAAGTTCAGTCAGTCATCGAATTACTCTACAGGTCTTTGCAAACACTATGCTTGGACCAAATAAATCAGTCCCAGCTTGAAGATCTTCAAGATATTGAGTCAGCATGACTTAGCTATGGCCTGTGGCCATAGCACCCTCAATCCCAACTCAAAGCCACCAAAATCATCGCACTTGCCGTCAGCACTGGAGCAAATGGAGCAATCGCTGCATTGCTGACGATCATCTCAGTGGTGGAGGTGGTGCCACAGGGGTGCCGGGCATCGATCAAAAAATCAAACACCTTCTCAGCTGCCTGACTATCCATCTGGGCTGCATAGCTGTAGTCTGCAGTACTGGAAGGCCGTTGGAGCAAGTAGAAGCCCGTCTTGGCGCAGTAGCTAACTACTAGGCATGCCCGGGTGTGGAGGTGTGCCTCACTCCTCACATGCACCTTGTCAGGCGCCAGGCCAGCACCGCCGTTGTAGTTCTTCTGATCTACCACAAAGTTCTGATAACACAGGCCATCCATCAACACCCCGGTGACCTCGGCTTCAACTCCACTGCTGGCATCAAAGCTGCAGCCCTGGAAAGTGCTGGGTTTCAAGGCTCGGGCCTCAACACACTGGTAGTCATCGGTGCACATCTGCGTGGCGGATAGGCATGAGACGCTGTCAGGCCTGACCAAATTGTAGCCCAAATCCTCGATGGAGGTGGCCTGCATACAGCCATTGGCATCCTTCATCCCGATGACTTTCACCGTCCAGTTGTTGTCCAGTCCATGAGCCGCCCAAGCACCAAGCGGACCAAGGATACCAAGCGTCAAGGTCATGGCATACTTCAGCATGGTGGTGAAGCTGAAACTGAGGAAACCACTGCTGGATACTGGTGGCCTCTTGAGTGCGGTGGCTGCATGGTGCATGATCTGATCATTCATCCCAAGTCAACGCATGGGGAAACGGACAGTTCCCATCTCGTTGTTTAACATAGCCATGGAAAAACACCATGTTTAAAAAGTAAACCATCTATAAACGGGCCATTTTCCATGGCTATGTTAGTCACTGTTAGTCATAACCAGAGGGTACCTGAAACAGTTTGAAACCACCAGCCGCATCAACCAAGTTGGGCAACCAACTGCCATTGGCCATTGACATGGACTAAGTTGAGAAAATTCAGCACCCACGATCGGATCCACTAGGCGGATTCCCACGTGCACACATCTTTAACATTAAAATGCCAAACTCCACTGCCTATGCCATTCATAACATTTCATAACCACAAATTCGGGAAAATCTGAAGGTTTGAGTACCTCAGCTGCAGCTCTATCTGCTAAACATGCTGAATACGTTTGACCTCATGGTCGGGTTGAACACATAAGGCCGCGTTCAACCACCCTGCTTCGGCTGCCGACGAATTTTGCCTCGCTGTCACCGTCCGTCCAGGCTGCCGCTAGAAGCATGCGACCTGGAATGGCGACCTCGGACAGGCCAGGTGGTGCTAAAGCCCAAAAGCCCAAAAACGATGAGCCAACCAAAGTTCCACAAAATCAGCAACTGGGGCACAATTCCCTGGAGATCTCTGACTGACATGGCAAGGCTGCTGTGGCACCTGGGTGGTGAGGTAGGACATGGCTATGACATGGCTACCGCATCCAGGCTTCCGTTTGGAGTGTCAAAAGTATTCAAAAGTGTTTCAAAGTGTGCCAAAGTTAGGTGATTGCTGAGAAACTTGTGCTGTTCTCGGCCAGGTCTGCCAAGAAAACATCTGAAAAACTCAAAAACGTCGAAATTTCTGAGGTTCAAAACGCCATGCACATTAAAAACGTGCTGGTTTGTCACATGATTTCACTATATATCTCATTACGCGGAAATCCAACTCTTTGGCAAGGCGGTGCCAGCTTCAATTTGGCTGAGCTAAGCGAGCATGATGTGTGATGTCACAGTGAGGAGCCACATGGAAAAAAAAAGTTGGCTTCTGTGTTTCAATGGAGTACTGTGTCTGAACCAACAGAAGCAGCGGAAAAGAACTCTTGCAAACTACTGTATCATCTCTGGGCCACGTGTACATCCGATTACCACGTTTGCTGGCCATTGATTGTCTTCTGCCTCCAAAGTGGGGTCAAATTAACGCAGCTTAGCACTCGTTCCCTGGCCATAAAAACGGACCCATGGCCACAGCGCGACACTAGGTCAATTTGAATCTCATTGAGAAAACCAGCCATTTGGCTGGCAAAGGCGCAAAGTCACAAGTCTATGACTGTTGTGATGGCACTGTCCCCACTCATCACCATGTACGAAAGGAAACCATGGTCGACTCGCAACTCATGTTGAAATATGTTGAAATAACTAAGGCACAGACCGTTTCACCACATACTTCAAAGAATCATAACGCTGACGCAAGGCACCGCTATTGCGAAAGTCAAACCTCAACAGCACTGAGGTTGATCTGCAAGGTGATTCTCACTCTCAGCAAGGAGAAAGCCAATCGATATCAATTGAATACTTGAATCGTCATCAATTGATCATTTAGGCGATGACTCAGGATGCAAAAACAAAGAAAGATCACCAAACACTCGTCCGTTGATGCGAATCCCAATCGACAAATCGCACCGGGCGTTCCCTGCATATTCAGCCGCTTTCATCTCACTACTCTCAAGTCTGTTGGCAGCCAGCATGCAGTACATCCAGATACTGTACATGTGCTGGGCTTGACTTGGGAATGCGGATGCCGCAGGATGATTCCTATGGAATGCTTGGGTTAGGTTGGCTACCGGAGTTTTTTCCAGTGACTGGAGCCCAAGTCAATGCAATACGCTTCCCCAAAAAATCAAAAAAGCAAGACACCCAGATGGGTTGGTTCGCTACGGATTTCACTTTCTAGTTTCTGACCTCCATTTTAATTTTGTGACATATCTGAATAGAGCAGCCAAGGTCCCATTCCCAAGTCCTGTCCAGACCCACCGGATGCCCCTTCGGTGCCGGTTGTGCCCGCAAAAAACATCTGCTGCAGTCAAGGTGGTAGGGACCCCGAAATCTTGCAGAACCAGTGCCGTGTCATGAATAATTTTCATTAAATTTCACTGTATAACCCAGATGCTCCATGTATGGTATATTTACCTACATTTGGGTGATTTTTAGGGCAAATGTTGGTAAATATTCCATACATGGAGCATCTGGGTAATACTGTATAGACAAACAAACTTTTCACTGAACGACAGCACTCTACAGTTACTCCAGGATGAGACGACGAAGAAAACCTGTCCAGCTAGAATAGTAATCTCGCCCTTCATGGACAACCCTCCCACCACTGCCATCATGGGCACAAACCGCATCCAAACGGCGGTTAAAAAATGCAGCATCACCAGCTGAAAACGACCTCGACTTTTTTTTGCACAGTCAACAGCTGCGAGGCCGGCCAGGAGGGCTGCAGTTTTTCAGCACCGCATGACCACGTTTCAGGCAACAATTAGGCTTCTCGTCGGTTTGCTCAGAGTCATACCAAGTAAAGAAGTTCTGTCAAATTATATCACCCTTGTGCTGGGTAATTATGATAGTGGTGTGCACATGCTTGTTCATCATTGTTCATCAATTCTTGGACTGTAGAATTACAACCTAGGTATCATACCTATTTGTCTGCCAGACGGATCACGGGAATGGCATCAGCTTGCCAAATGTGTCCTTTCCTTCAAACCCAAATCAAAGGTATTCATCAATCCCGGCATGCGCAGCGAATCGGAGGGAGCCACAAATGCACAGCTCAACATGATCAATATTGACTTTTTGGCACTTTTTGGGGCCCAGGGTCACTACTACAGTAGCATCTGGATTGGGAAAAAGAAAGAAACTCAGCTCCGAATACGCTCGCATGCAGAAGTGAAGCTACACAGCTGAATGTTCAGCACCTCAAAAGTGAGCTGAAACACGTTCAACCTCTGAATCGATCTCGCTCTTTCCGTGGGAGGCATGATTTGCCGCAGGACTACCCGGTCCTTGGACACCGGTCTGGTCCTTACCAACTTCCCCCGATCAATTGATATCGATATCTGCACCCGATCTGGACATGGGTGAGATGGTTTTGAAATCAAGGCTTGAATCACACTTTCAAGTCACGGTACACTCTGAAACGATGGAATGTTTGCAAAGGACTCGATTCTGCTGTATCTGCCACTTAAAGATTCAACAGACTCAACAAACCATGAATTTTGACATCAAACAATGACTGCGATTTGATTTGTATCAAGTCCTTCAACGGCCGGGCCACGACGTGTCTAGCCGCGACCATGAAAATTCGGCATTTTATACATGGCGGAGGCCGTTAGCATCCGCCCTGCATGGGGGCAGGGACACCAATAGTTGGGTAAAGGGTCTTGAAACGAATTGCGCTATCAGGTTGGCAATTGGTTAGCAATCCCGTCAATAAAACCAAGAAGTGTCACTGTAGTGGAGAATCATTGACAGTTGCTGACGTGGATGGAGGACTTGTGATTGAGCGCTCTGGAGTTTGCAAATAGTATGCAGCTATATATCTGAAGGATCATTCCAGAATGTGATTTGCAGTCTGCTGAGAGTCTGTTGCCTAGAAGCTCACAAGCGGTTATAAATCTGCTTGCAAGAAAACTAGATTACAATGCCTGTGACTGGGGTTTCAACGAGAAAGTCAGGGTTAGAACCGCAGCCTCAGTTTGTGAACAATCATGAGTTGCCACATTCTCTGATAGTTACACCATGCAATACATTTGGTGGGTTCCGGCTGATTCGTGGCGGCTGACTACTCACTACTCCTTGGTGCTTGGTGCCCCAGAGGCCCCCTCTTATTGGACAGGGATGGACACAGTCATCGAGCCTTACTGGCTGTGCACTGCGCTACATGCAAGCATGCAACAGAACAAGGAACAACAAGTGTGTCCAAGAACGGGACCCCCACGGATGGATTAAACTCAAATAGCTTCAACTACACCATGACAGGGCTGATTCCCGAAGTCCACTTTTTTGGACATACCATACCCAAACAGAAGCTGGTTGGTGGTTTCAATGTCCCTCCCTGAATCTGCACGACCTTCCCAGTCGAATAGGACATAGAAAGTCAGCATTTGAATCCACCAACCAGAAGTAGCAGCAACAACAACAAGAGAAACACCAACAGGAGCGCGATGCAAACTCTGCAACAGTTGGTCACAACCAAATGCATTTTTTTCCAGAGCTGCAGTGCTGCCCGATCTGCCCGACTCAGACTTCGAATTCAACTTGGCGTTTTCCGCCATCGTCCCCAGCATTAAAATTAGTACACACGGCACCGTGCTGTGTCGCGACGGTTTCACGCGCTCCTGGCCCACGCACTTTCGTGGCAAAAGTTTTGGAGCAGCTGCGGCTCAATGCACGAAAGCACTGCCGAGAGGGCCACCCCAAAAGGCCCCTGACATGCAGTCAATCATGACGACTCAGGATGTGAAACAGAAATCAGAATACAGAACCTCAGTGACAGACCCATAAAGTAACGCAGTGCGCCCAAATGTTGCTGAACACTTCTCTACGGACGCAAACGCATGCAATGAAAACAAAGGAACGCAACAGTAGTCCAACACGTGCACACCATGTGGCACTGGGGCAGGTCAACAAATCTGGGCTGGAAATGTGTCTGGTTCGTTGCTCAACTTGGAAACCACTTGATTGGTATTTCGCTATATCTCACCCAAATGCCACTCTTGTTTCCCAAATCTGGAATATCTTTAATGGATTTTAATGGTACGGGGCTTTCGATCTGACAAAAAAAACGCTTTTGAAACCTGTAAGAACTTGCTTGCCCGAAAACCTTGCAATGCGTAATTTGCTCAAAAACGATCAAATACTGAGCGAAATAGCTGCTTTCACATGCTTTCACCAGGTTTGCATTTTTTTTATTTTCCAAGTTTAATCTTCCAAACCCGTCCGAACTCCATCTTTATCGTTTTCTTTTTGGGATGCACGTTACTTCAGAGTTCCGAGCGTCCAAGTCCAAAGAGGTCGCCCGCTGTTTCAACGGTGACGCTGGCATCGGGCACTTGGTTGCGTCCACTGCCTGAGCCATATAGAGATTTGACCCTGAAAGATAGGGATTTAACCTGAGTTAACCATTAAAAAACATAAAGATTTAACTGATTTAAGCATGATGTAAGTGTCAAATTGAACTGTGCAAGAAAATTCAAGAAATAGTTTCCGGATTTTGCAGAAATGGCCAAATAAAGAAGCCAACGCACTTCAGAAAGGATGATGAATGATAACCAGCTGGAGCAAAAGCACGTGGAACGCCCCCCGTAAGGCCTGCCGGTGCCTCATGGGTCACATGATCGCACCCGAACCATACCACAAATGTTGCGCACGGCCCTGCGGTGATTGGAGGTCAATGAAGGGTTTTTGTAAAATTCCATCAAAAATCTCGTTGTTTTGGGTTTGATATATGAAAAATAGCTGGTAAATGGATGTTCATTCCCCTAAAAATGGTATTAATAGATATTGATCCATACCTATATGAAATTCTGGTAGGGAAAAAATCTCAAGAGCAATCAATTTGATGTATATTGTAATTTCTTGTAATTTGGGATCATGTGAAACCTCAGAAGCAGGGTAATCCTGTACTCATAGACATGCTTCAGCAATCATTGCCCCTGGTCCGATATCACAGGAAAGCGGAGCACCCCCCCACCAAACAAATGTCGTGTGCCATCTGTCGAGTTGAAGCTTTGGAGTGTATGCTTGGGCTGTAGGTATGGTGGGGTTTGGATGATTCTGGAGGTGTTTATTATCCATGAATTAACTAAATTTTTGAAATATCTAGAATAATCCTACCACACCTTGCTTGCCACGCCTGCAACTTGCTGTTTTCCTCGTCCGATTCGCTGAGGACGTCTGTGCTGGCTTCCGAAGTGGGCTTCGCCACGTGCGTCAGCATGCCCTGGCGCCGGGGTTGCGGGGGATGACCCGTGTGGATATTCGAATATCCTAACTCCTAACCTAACTATCATGCTGTCGGGAAACTCTTAGTAGCTCCTTGGCTCCCCGTTTGAAAAGGAATATGGATACCCATAGATCATCATAGATCCCATAGCACCCTCCCAACCACCGGATACATAATGTCGATGACTTGGATGCACAGGTGATATGCCACTGCCAAAGCCTGCCTCTGTTGTGAGGGTCTTCGGCACTCGGGGAAGTACTGCATTTACTGCCTCCAAAAAATAGACTCCCCAATGTCAACAACAAATGGGCCATGCTTATCATGGTTGGCATTACATTGAATACGGGGAGGCCAAGGGATGTCGGCCTCCAACTCAAGATGCCTCCAAATGCACAAATCCAGCTGCACTATTGTTGTCTGTGTTAATTAATGGGGGGGGAATAGTCGAAAGCGCAATCATCGCAATCCGGGTCCTATGCACAGCAAGGGCAGATCAGGCCTTGTCGTCAGCCAACCAAAAGTCTCTGGCAGGGTTGTACCTGGATTTCACATCGATATCGATCAGTGCGAGCAGAATTTCAAGTGTGAATTTGTGAATTCACAAATTTGGATTCGAAACTAAATGGATGCCCCAAGCCCATTCAAAATATTCAAGCACATGGTTCCCCTCCAACAGTGGCCCATCAACTGCGAACATATTTGAACCCTGCACTCTGCAGTCAAGCGACTCACTTGTGGTCCAATCAGCTTTGTCGTAGCCATCCCGCCTTGCCTGGAGAATCCAAGTCGGTCAGTGATCATAGTGACCCAACACACCAACAACACATAAAAATCATGGCCTCCTCGGCCAAGGGGAAGCTGTTGGTCGCCGGCATGTCTCCACTGATGAGTGTGGCACGAACGCCCCAACGACATCCTGGCCGCAACTGGCGATGGCGAAGGCTGTTGGAGCTTCTAGTGCTGCCATCCAACTGGCCCCAACAGACTGGTTGCCCAACAAGTCCCCACCGGGCCCCGTCCTGCAAAGTGGTTCAAGCAGCGGCACACACCTTCCTGACCCATGATCACCAGCACACACAAACCTCGAAAAGACGCGAGCATTTTCTGGCGCTGCTCTGTCACCACATGAGATGCATTGATATGCCGATATGCCGATATGCATTCAAACAAAGCATCAAGCTCTGAACATTCCCATAGGGCACTAAACACAGGGCAACAAAACCGTTGAACCAAGTGGAATCCCAACATCTCAAAGGGCACAGCCAACTTACATGTGACATCCTTCAACTTTTGCCACAACTGGAAACCTCATGTTCCATCTTGTTCCATCATTTTGCTGGTGCAAACAAGTGACCAATGCCCCGACCTTTCACTGTGCAATTGAGCACGTCATTCGCAAGGCCAGCCTCCCAACGGTGCTTCTGTTTCAACGGATTTTTCGCCCAGGGTCAGGGTCACCACCGGAAAAAAGGCGGGGGGCAGTTGGGTGACCTGGCAGTCAAAGTGATCTTTTTCAGGGTTTTGAGGGGAAACCAACTTGGGCAAGTTGAACGTCGCTTGAAGGTCCAAGCACTTTGTTTTGGTTGAGCCAACCAGGGGACAAACCACGACAGTCATGGGCAAGCCCTGCACCTCAAAATCAGATCAACACTTACTTAGACGTACTTGCTGATGAACTAATTGCTTTCCATGTCTGAAGCAAAACAAGATGGCCGTGAAACAAAATTCATCAAAAATCCACTGCAACCACTTTTCCACTCAGAATTGTGGACATTTCTGGACTGTGCATTACAAGTACCAGCTTCGGGTACCCGAAGGATCCCAAAGGGGCCCCAGCCTGCTCCAGGATCGCATCCACCTGAAAGGAAAGGGGGACTTGCGCCAGATCTGCGCCAGCCAAATTGGGTGCTTCTCAATGGATCTCCCAACGTTTGCGTCCGCACATTGAAGTTCATTCCGTATGATCTGGAAATTGTTGCACCAATTTAAGTTTCGTTCATGGTTGGTACGCGAAGCCGAGGTGATAGTGATTTAATGGTTTGACCCAAAAAAGAATCATTATATCAGCACGCTAAATTAATTATCCTATTGTCCCATGATTCTCCCATTATAATGACGATTTTTTTAATTAAGGCTTTCGGTGGGAAAACCCTGCCCAGAGTTCCACATGCAGCTTCCCAGGGCAAGATACGCAGGTCTTGTTCAGAAGCTCCATCGGGATGCCTTGTGGCTGAGGTTGCTACTCTGAAACTGCCATGGCCCAGAACACGTTCGAAGGAAAAAATGATCCAAAGTTGCATTAAAAAAATATCATATTTCCTTGAAATGATTTGTGGCCTATATATATATTTATCATATTTTTGGACATATCTGGTTACAAGTAATTAGTGAACATCCCAAGAAATAGCAGGGTGCTCACATGCTGCGGCTGCTGCATACTGGCAGGGCCCCACCTTGCAGCAAGATGGAGTAGGTGCCAGGAATTGCTTGAAAAGTGTCCATCCTGAGCACCGCTAGAAATTTTAATTCTGGTGTCTTCCGTCTCTTTTTCGGAAGAATGGATGCAACCAACATCATCATGGACTCTTGGAATCTCCGCCTCAAAAGAGTTTGACAGTGGAGTTTAGCTTGGACCAACCCCAAATACTGTAATTTTGAAATTCTTAAAAGGTGGTGATGGCAAGATTGGCCAACAAAAACGCAATCTTTTCCGCAACATGTATTTTTTATTCATATATTTTTTTTTTGACCTCCCAGATCCCAAGTTCAGGCATGTTCAGGCCGAGGGTCTCTGAGTTCTCATCCCCTTCCGCAATGCTGCTCATGATGCCATCTTCCTTCTTCCAACCAGGCCCACCTGGCCACCAGCCGCTGGCCGCCACTAGGCCGCGCCCATGAGCCACACCGGCCGGAGCGGCGCTCCAATCTGCCGGAGGCGAAGGTACCCCAGGCTCAACCCATTCGTTGTGCAGCTGCTCACTGCTTTCAATTATCGGGTCCACAGCGCTACCGTTTTCTTCAAAGACCATGGTCTCCCGATATGCGGCTGCATCACGCACGTCGTAGAACCTCAAGCACAAGGCCAACATGTTGTGTAGAGATGATCTGATCGTGCCATCTACATATACTAGGCATAGGCATAAACTATCATAAAACTATTGTCCGGTATCTTCTCTCTTTTTCTTTCTTCTTTTTTCCCTCTCTCTCTCTCTCTAGATTAAAGTTGTGTACTGTATTTGGATGTATTTGGTCCAAAAATTGGTTCAGCATGCTTTAAGATAAATCCCATAATCTCGGAATTTGCCCCACAAAACCGTAACATCATGTTCCCATCATGTTGCAGCCGAAATGATCCGAGGGGCACTAAGGTGTAGTAGTCCCTATCAGGATCATCAATGTACATTTCTGACAGGGAAATCTTATCAACGACGCTGGGATCGAGCGAAGTGGATCCTGCCAGGCACCATCCAATTTCAGAAACGACGTCAGAGATAGGGATGTGCTGCCACATCCGGAAAATTAGGGATTTGATTGGGGCCTCAATTGACCAGATTTCATCCGTTCAGCAGAATGGCCATCATCATCAACAACATCATCATCATCATGTTAATCTTCATGTTCATCTTCTAAATATTATATATCATAAGCCATACATCATATATCATATCTCTTGAAACATACATATTATTATACATATACATACACAATCTTATATCATACATCAATGCGCCACTTCCGGCCGCTTCAGTTTGGGTCTAAATCAAGCAGTCCAAAATCACAAATCATCACAGAACATAGTGACATAGGGTCGACATGCTGATCTAAATGGCGATCGGCCAAGACCCATCGGCCAAAATGGGAGTATCACAAACGCTGCACCCAAACGCTGCACCCAACACTGGCAGATCGGCCTGGCAATCGCACCCGGCCTCGAGACAAGGGGTGAAGCTGTTTTCATGTACCGAACCCAAGTGGGCTTAATGTGACCTCATCATTCCAGATTGGGATGGAACAGACATAACATGAAATAACCCAAAGAACCAGCCACAACCCGACGACTTTGGACACAAACTCAACAAAAATCCTCCGTCTAGCTTCTGCATCCTCACGCTAGCCAATGTGCATTATCTTATATTGGAGTATGCTCAGTTGAAACCCTGCAATTTTTGGCGCTTGCAATTTCGTTTTTTCCTCAGGGACTGGTGCATGTGTGGCTAGTGGTTTTGAAGGCTTCCTGTTGCAGTAGGAATCAATCCTGGCTCCTTACCTAGGTACCAAGCATGGTACCAGAATGTACACGCATGTACAAGCATGTTTTCCACTTGATACATATGTTGTGTATACATACACATCGCCGACCCCAGCCATCTGCAGGGGGAGCGCGCCCGAGGAAAAGTGGCGTTAAGCCCTGAGCATTAGGCAGTAGCTTGGCGTTAGATGCTTCCCGTTCAAGCTGCTTCCGGGCGCCCGTCGCATGGTTCCGGGCGCCGTCCCCATGCTTCCGGGCGCCTTCCGAAAGCTTTTCTATAGTGGCTTCAGACACAGATAGTGTAGTGGCTTCAGACAATAAGGTTTTCTAGCGGCTTCAGAAAGCAACGTTAGGCACTAGCCTTCCTCCAAATGCTTCCCGGCGCCCTTGCCGGAGGCTTTTGCACCATTCTGGTGCCTTTTGCACCAGTCTGAGCGCTTGCCAAGAAGTTTTCTAGTGGCTTCAGAAAGCAACGTTAGGCACTAGCCTTCCTCCAAATGCTTCCCGGCGCCCTTGCCGGAGGCTTTTGCACCCGCGCCCTTGCCGGAGGCTTTTGCACCATTCTGGAGCCTTTTGCACCATTCTGGAGCCTTTTGCACCAGTCTGGGCGCTTGCCAAGAAGTTTTCTAATGGCTTCAGAAAGCAACGTTAGGCACTAGCCTTCCTCCAAATGCTTCCCGGCGCCCTTGCCGGAGGCTTTTGCACCATTCTGGTGCCTTTTGCACCAGTCTGGGCGCTTGCCAAGAAGTTTTCTAGTGGCTTCAGAAAGCAACGTTAGGCACTAGCCTTCCTCCAAATGCTTCCCGGCGCCCTTGCCGGAGGCTTTTGCACCATTCTGGCGCCTTGTGCACCAGTCTGGGCGCTTGCCAAGAAGTTTTCTAGTGGCTTCAGAAAGCAACGTTAGGCACTAGCCTTCCTCCAAATGCTTCCCGGCGCCCTTGCCGGAGGCTTTTGCACCGCCTTTTGCACCAGTCTCGGCGCTTGCCAAGAAATTTTCTAGTGGCTTCAGAAAGCAAAATGCTTCCCGGCGCCCTTGCCGGAGGCTTTTGCACCATTCTGGTGCCTTTTGCGCCAGTCTGGGCGCTTGCCAAGAAGTTTTCTAGTGGCTTCAGAAAGCAACGTTAGGCACTAGCCTTCCTCCAAATGCTTCCCGGCGCCCTTGCCGGAGGCTTTTGCACCATTCTGGAGCCTTTTGCACCAGTCTGGGCGCTTGCCAAGAAGTTTTCAGTGTGGAGGCACCAGCCTTCCTCCAAATGCTTCCCGGCGCCCTTGCCGGAGGCTTTTGCACCAGTCTGGGCGCTTGCCAAGAAGTTTTCTAGCGGCTTCAGAAAGCAACGTTAGGCACCAGCCTTCCTCCAAATGCTTCCCGGCGCCCTTGCCGGAGGCTTTTGCACCATTCTGGGGCCTTTTGCACCAGTCTGGGCGCTTGCCAAGAAGTTTTCTAGTGGCTTCAGAAAGCAACGTTAGGCACTAGCCTTCCTCCAAATGCTTCCCGGCGCGCTTGCTGCCTTCCGGCTTCAGACAAAGAGGTTTTCTAGCGGCTTCAGAAAGCAACGTTAGGCACTAGCCTTCCTCCAAATGCTTCCCGGCGCCCTTGCCGGAGGCTTTTGCACCATTCTGATGCCTTTTGCACCAGTCTGGGCGCTTGCCAAAAAGTTTTCTAGTGGCTTCAGAAAGCAAAGTTAGGCACTAGCCTTCCTCCAAATGCTTCCCGGCGCCCTTGCCGGAGGCTTTTGCACCATTCTGGTGCCTTTTGCACCAGTCTGGGCGCTTGCCAAGAAGTTTTCTAGTGGCTTCAGAAAGCAACGTTAGGCACTAGCCTTCCTCCAAATGCTTCCCGGCGCGCTTGCCGGAGGCTTTTGCACCATTCTGGTGCCTTTTGCACCAGCCTGGGCGCTTGCCAAGAAATTTTCTAGTGGCTTCAGAAAGCAACGTTAGGCACTAGCCTTCCTCCAAATGCTTCCCGGCGCCCTTGCTGGAGGCTTTTGCACCATTCTGGAGCCTTTTGCACCAGTCTGGGCGCTTGCCAAGAAGTTTTCTAGTGGCTTCAGAAAGCAACGCTAGGTACTAGCCTCCAAATGCTTCCCGGCGCCCTTGCCGGAAGCTTTTGCACCATTCGCCTTTTGCACCAGTCTGGGCGCTTGCCAAGAAGTTTTCTAGTGGCTTCAGAAAGCAACGTTAGGCACTAGCCTTCCTCCAAATGCTTCCCGGCGCCCTTGCCGGAGGCTTTTGCACCATTCTGGCGCCTTTTGCACCTATCTGGGCGCTTGCCAAGAAGTTTTCTAGTGGCTTCAGAAAGCAACGTTAGGCACTAGCCTTCCTCCAAATGCTTCCCGGCGCCCTTGCCGGAGGCTTTTGCACCATTCTGGCGCCTTTTGCACCAGTCTGGGCGCTTGCCAAGAAGTTTTCTAGTGGCTTCAGAAAGCAACGTTAGGCACTAGCCTTCCTCCAAATGCTTCCCGGCGCCCTTGCCGGAGGCTTTTGCACCATTCTGGAGCCTTTTGCACCAGTCTGGGCGCTTTCCAAGAAATTTTCTAGTGGCTTCAGAAAGCAAAATGCTTCCCGGCGCCCTTGCCGGAGGCTTTTGCACCATTCGCCTTTTGCACCAGTCTGGGCGCTTGCCAAGAAGTTTTCTAGTGGCTTCAGAAAGCAACGTTAGGCACTAGCCTTCCTCCAAATGCTTCCCGGCGCCCTTGCCGGAGGCTTTTGCACCATTCTGGCGCCTTTTGCACCTATCTGGGCGCTTGCCAAGAAGTTTTCTAGTGGCTTCAGAAAGCAACGTTAGGCACTAGCCTTCCTCCAAATGCTTCCCGGCGCCCTTGCCCCGGAGGCTTTTGCACCATTCTGGCGCCTTTTGCACCAGTCTGGGCGCTTGCCAAGAAGTTTTCTAGTGGCTTCAGAAAGCAACGTTAAGCATCAGCTGCCTCCACATGCTCCGTGGCGCCCTTGCCGCAAGCTTTTGCACCATTCTGGCGGCTTTTGCACCAGTCTGGGCACTTTCCAAGCGGTTTTCTAGTGGCTTCAGACAGCAATGTTAGGCACTAGCCTGCCGTCAAATGCTCCCCGGCGCGCTTGCCGGAGGCTTTTGCGCCTGTCTGGGCGCTTTCCAAGGGGTTTTCTCGTGGCTTCAGAAAGCAACGTTAGGCACTAGCCTGCCTCCACATGCTCCGCGGCGCACTTGCCGGAGGCTTTTGCGCCTGTCTGGGCGCTTTCCAAGGGGTTTTCTCGTGGCTTCAGAAAGCAACGTTAGGCACTAGCCTGCCTCCACATGCTCCGTGGCGCCCTTGCCGGAGGCTTTTGCACCATTCTGGTGCCTTTTGCGCCAGTCTGGGCGCTTGCCAAGAAGTTTTCTAGTGGCTTCAGAAAGCAACGTTAGGCACTAGCCTTCCTCCAAATGCTCCGCGGCGTTGGTGGAGGCCTTTGCACCATTCTGGGCGCTTCCAAAGAGGTTTTCTAGTCGCTTCAGAAAGCAACGTTAGGCACTTGCCTGCCTTCAAATGCTCCGCGGCGCTGTTGCCTAAAAACAAGGTGGGGGGCCTAAAAAACAAGGGCCCTGTATACCGGCGCAGCGCTATCTGTGTAATAATAGGGCCAAACTACTTGTTTCAACCGTATTTTCCGGGCCTCATGCAACACAGCGGAAGCAGTATCTGGACAAGACTTTGGATGGACACTTGGACACCTAAACAACTGATAAGAAAGGAATTCTGCAATGATAAGTAGAAACCAAAAATGACGTGGGAAAATACGATGGCCAAGCATGTCCAGCCATCGTATTTTCCCATATCCTTTTTGGACACCAAGAATGCTCATTGCATAGGATACCTGAATTCAGGATACCTGAATCATATTCATAAAAAAAGGGTCGAACCAATTTGCTTTGATTCATTGCCGATCCTAGGCTCTCTTTAGGATGGTTTCTTTCGGTCAATTTATGATTTCTTTAGGGTTCATTTAGTGTTTCATGTAGGTGTTTCTTAGCAGCAATTCTTTAAGGTTTCTTTGGGTTTCACCTAGGGTCTTTAACATTTCATTTAGGATACAAACAGAAGAGAATAAAACAAAAGAATTAGGGTTTCATGTAGAGATTCTCTGGAGATATACATCTCTTAAGGATTTTATTTCGAGTTTCTTTTGGGTTTCTGTCGGGTTTCATGTAGGGTTTGATTTAGGGATTCTTTCATGTTTAATTTAGGGGTTAATTTAGGGTTTTGTGTAGGATTTCTTATCAGAAAATCTTGCCAAGGTTTTCAAACATTCATGTGGGTTTCTTGAAAGTTTCTTTAGAGTTTCATGTAGGATTTCGTTCATGAGGGTCAAAAAACACGAGGGGTTGCAAAAAAACAAGGTGGGGGATCAAAAAAAAACAGAGCCCGTATACTTTGAAAAAATATCATGCACCTGTGCGGCGCAACCATGCACCTGTGCGGCGCAACACTAGCTGTATAATAATAGGGCCAGAAATATCGTGTATATATATATCTATCTATCTATCTATCTAACTATTATACAGTTACTTAGATCCATGAACCCATAAAACCATAGGATCATAATATTAACATGCCCCCAAATGAAAAAAAAAACATTTATAAATGAAAATTCATTCCAACCTATCAAATATATTTCTTCCGGGGTCGGCGGCAGGGGGGCGGCAGCCCTTATATATATATATATATGAGTTATATATATAATATTATGTATATCTGTCAGTATATATCCATATATATATATATATTCATATATATTCATGAAATGAGTCTCACGCTCTGGATCATTCTGGATGTGCTCCAAGGTGCGGTTTCCGCAGGGAGCTACCAACCAGCAGTCCTTGATCGCTTCCACAGCCCTCTTTGCTGCCCGGATATCGAAGTATGCCTCACGTTACATGAGGTCCCAATTCATCTTCGCTCATCTTTCAGTGTACGAGCCCAGTATCAGGTCATCCTCATTCTGTTTTTCATAGAAAATTGGGGATTGAAGTTGGTTATCCTCAATTCCTAGCTATCCTTCCAACCTGATCCTCGATGACTTCATCAACCGGACAAGTTGGGCCTCCCATAGAGATCCCTGGGATCTCTGCCGAGCTGCGATCTCCAACAAACCCTCCTGGCTGTTCAACACATTTACTCCACCAACCTGATGGATGACGGATGGCCAGCCCAAAGGGAACAAAAACGCGTGGTCGCCAGCCTATTTCAGTCGTTTCTACCTGGTTATGCTACGTGAACTTGATTGCATTTATATTGCATATATATATATATATATATATATAAAATCCATATATATATATATATAATTATATATAATATTATATATAAGCATTTATGATTTACTTCTGCCTGTACGATACCTAGCAGACATTGAAGAAAGCAAACGAACAATAACAACATCTGCTGGCGGCTGAAGACAGATTAAGACAGCAAAGGCACATCTCCAAACCTTTGCATTATCTGAACGGCTTTGTCAACATTATCCTCAGCGAGGGGTTGCTGTAAACGAGAGGTGACCAGTAAAGACACAAAGTAAAGCCATCGACATCAGGACCCATCAGAGGCTGTTGAATCGCAATGTGGACATGTCTTCTGCTGATTTAAGCCGCTGAAAAAAGAGCGAGCATGGACAACCGGCAACCAAATGGCAACAGCAGCCACATCTTATTTTGCTGAGAGTCCCAATAGGGTAGAAAAACCTCGACCACATTCGATTCCTGCTGGGCATTCATTTCTCCCAAGCAGCCTGTCAGAATACGCCTCAGTGCAAAGCATGCGCTGGAAATCTACAATACAGGGATCAGCGAATACAATCGGAACATGTTGGGACTATGCATTGTAAACCATTCAACGCTACATATGCAGATTGAATATGATTGAATAAGGGATGCAGGTTATATGCTCTGCTTGTTAGGACGGTGGCAGTTGAACCCCCTTATGAAAACAAAGGGGCCGCCGCTGAGTTTCCAGCAGCTAGCCTGGAGGCCCTGAGCCACACCAACTCCATGTGAAATGGACATCTATTATAAATAGGGATGGCCCAAAGGAACGACCTGGCAGATTCAACCTCGCAATGTCCCAAAGGAATCCAAAGGAACAATATGGGGCACTTTATAATACTTTATAATGTCAACCCCGGATTAATAAACCATGGTTTATTAATTAGGGGGGTACTCCTCGAATAGTCATAATCTAATACTTAAATGGTACCCTCCCAATTAAACAGCCGTTTGGGGTTTATTAATCCAGGGTTGACATTATACAGGTTTCAACTGATGCTGGGAGATGATCGAAACTGCACGGCCCAGCAACGATGAGTGCGCTCTCGCTCTGTCCCTAGCGTCTTGCTAGCGCAGCAACCACGCACAGGCTACGAATTATTTTCAGCCAAAAGGCTACGGTAAATCAGCCACACCACTGGTTTCAAATCGCAGCTCCAAGCGAGGAATCATGACTAACATGCAAGTCATTTCTGTATCATGTCTGTATCATTTCTGTATCAGTATATCATTCAAGAGATTTCAAGAGATTCCGGACTACTCCAGGTCCCACTGAGGCATTCTGAGGCATTGACTGCAGCATGGCCTGTTCCACACATCGCCTGGCGGTGTCATGAGTTGAATGACATGGGAATGACGGACATGTCATGGCCGTCCACCATTCAGTGCACAACACCCAAGTCATGATCTCATGATACCCTCTGGTAAACTAACATAACTATCGAAAATCACCATTTTCAATGGGAAAATCCACTATAAATGGTCATTTTCAATAGCTATGTTAAATTACCAGAGGGTATCTCATGCATTCTCATGCCTATTTACCTATCACAAGCTATGTGCCTCTTGGGAACATCACCTGACTCTCATGACAACATCGGCAGGGAAACGCCACAGTCCAGGCAGTACGAATGGACTGCAAGTCCAGGACCTGAGCCGCGAGACGATCGAATTGACTATCTATGACCTATGAATTGAGAATCCAAGATTGGATTATTATATAGGTCATCTATGACTATAACAGATTGATAATCCAATCTATCACCATCATGTTCCGACTTATGATATAAATATATTATAGAAATTTGAATGTCAACCTTTATCCAGATAAATATATTAGACACATTTATCTGTTCAACCAAATTTCTGGGATTTCAATGTCAACCATTGATCCATGGGGCTGCTCCGGTCCTCCGGTCGTCCATCAGGATCCAGGATCCCAGACCCTGGCACGGCCCACTGCGAAGCGTTCCAGCTCACGAACAGCGCTGATCAGACTCAGCAGGTACCTGCCACTGGCTGCCACTGGGATCTCATGGGTTTAAGATGGTTTTAAGGCCTAGGGCCCCACGGAAAACCATGGAAAACCCTATGGTTTTGCCATAAAATATATAAAATAATATAAAATATGGGAATTCTATCTGGTTCCTGCGCATTTTTCCAGAAGCCAATTCCTGGAGGAAACATATATGATCATGGGGGTTCAACATGATCTAAGAAGGCAAAAGCTGAATTTTAGACACACAATAATGATCAGGAATCAACCAGCAAATCTATTGGTGGTAAGAGTTTTCCGTCGTTTTACCACCTAGTAGTTCACCAGTCGAACACACACACACACACATATATATATATGATATATATATATATATATATGTATGTATTATTATAGTATAATTAATATGATTATATATATGTGTGTGTGTGTGTTACCTGTTACCTGTTGGTTTTTGCAATCGAAGTTTAATGCCCAAAACAGCATACTTATCTGGCAAACGAGGGCGAACAGTTCCTGGCGGTTCTACCCAGAGAATCATCTCACTATGACCGCTGAAACAGGAATGCTTCTCGCACTGCTCGCTGGTGGTTTCAACATATGTCCCAACTCATCACAACACCAAACAACTTCATGCATATATTGTATGCATATATATGATTATATATAATACATGATTACACACACACATATATATATATATATTATGTATAATATATGATTCCATATGCATATGTATACACTACAGTAAATGCATATGATTATCACTTATTTGATCTTCGTTGAAACTTGATCATTGAGTTTTGTCGCACATTTTTTTCTGACAATTCATACTCAGATCATACTGGATCCCAACATAAATTTGATGAAGCTCTGCCCAGTCCAGCAGGCTATGCTATGTTCCTGTTGAAACTTGCAGGTTTCATGGTTAGGGGCAGGACCTCTCGTCATCGATGCTGGCGATGCCAGATTTAAAGACCTTCAGCAGCTTTCCGGTTTGAACTGGTACCCACGAATGTGCACGCTGCACGTCCAAACACAAACATTATGAAATACATTGAAATACTGTGAAAACAAGATAAAGCCACCAAGTACCAAACAAACTAGCACCTCCCGTCCACAATCTCCCTACCATTAGTTGGAATCTTGCTGCCCCCTACGGAGGCTGCAATTGCACATGGTGGCAGATGGTGGCAGTGGCAAAGTCTTTCATGACTTATCGGCTCCACATGGGGTCCAAAAATGGTCGTGCCTCCCTGGCAGTGTTGCAGTGATCACCTCATCTTTCTCTGTTATCGATTGAGGGCTGACTGTCAATGTTGGCAAACTGTCTTCCAACATGTCCTCCTCAGGGTTGTTAATCTGTCAGGAAACACACCTTCGATTCAAAATGAAGAACTTCCAGATTTCTATGCGTTCTACTGAGACAAGCTTGTGGCCAAAATTGACACAGGAAAAACCTGCGAAGCACTACAGTATGAAGTACTCGTGTTTAGTCCAAGCAGCACCCGTCTCAAAGAAGGACTTGAGCTGAAGGCAGGTCAAGTAGCCTGCAACCATCGTTGGGGGTTTCACCCTGCAAGATGGAAGAATTGTGGCCCGAAAACATCCCAAATATCCCAAATCTGGAAACTTCAGTGGGTTGGCCAAGTCAAAATTAACGACTGGAGAAGTGGCTAAAGGTGTTCTGACACTAAGAAATACTAAGAACATATCAAGCTTGGGGTCCGTCATTTTAATAATGACTCCATTCTGGTTGTAATGTGTATCCTTGGATATCGTTGTTGAAAAAACTCCAGTGTTGCTGGGTACCTTCTGTCTGGACCCATAATATCTCCACACTTCCAACAATTTCCAACATGCCTTCCGAGAAATTGCACAACTCTTCAGCCAACCGCGCCCGAACCTGACAGGGATAGTCGTCCCGTATTGGGGGGTTCCTTTGATGGCTGGGTTCCTTGTGGTGCTCCAAGTAGGTCCACAATGGTCCACACATCTGTCAACGGCATTGGTTGCAACACGGGTCCATGTTGAAGATCCAATGTGCTTGAAACATGTTCCTCCCTTCTTCTGCCATCTTAAAATATATAAACCCATTCATTTTCAGTTGGACTACTTTTGCATCAAAACTGGGTCCCGGGAAAATAGGGATGGCTAGTTCTCGAAATGGCCAGTCCATCCCCCATCCCACCTAGCAAGTAAATTGGGATGATTTCAGTCTCAGGGATGGGATATCTCTGATATATATATATATATATGTATATATATATATATGTATATATATATATATATATATCATGTTTGATAGACATAGATAGATGGATGGATCGATAGATAGATCATGATAGATCGATAGATGAACATCATTGAAGTCTGCCAGAACTCTGCCATATCTGCCTCCAATTTGGACCATAGCTCGCCCACCACCTCCTCAGGACCTTTTACCTGTTCCAAGGACCTGGGATGGGCTGGGAACGTTTGCGGAATGGATTCATAGGAACCTTGGCTAAGTTGTGAATTAATAATCCATAGGTGGGTTTATCCCACATCTAACTAGGTGATAAATTTGATAACTGGGAAGTGGAAAGTTCACCTGTTTTAGTTGGTTGCTTTGATATATATTTTTTTTTTTGACAACGTTTATGCTGGAAAAATGAATGTAGGAAAGTTGCAGTGACAGCTGACTTCCTGTAGATGCTAGATTTTCCTGCAAAAAGGTAAAAACGGCTTCAATTAAAACACAGAGGATTTCATGTTCCCCAACCTGGTCCATATATCTATCTATCTATCTCTATATATATATAATATATGCGTGTGAGTGTGTGATTTTCTTGTCTGTTCTTATACCCCCAAAATTCCCAAAATGGGTCCATTGTTCGGGAACTGGCATCCAAAGATATCCAAATTGCCAGTTCAAGTCCGAGGGTTTGAACTTTTTCCGCTCATTTGGCTGCAGAAGCCTCCTTTGGACCACTGGGTGCCATAGCCGTGACTGGAGGTTGGATTTCCAATTATGGTTTCTGTTGCCTACCTCATGCCTACAGTACCTCATGCCTACCTCATGTGGGCGAATTCTAATATGCGCTGATATTCGCACATGCCAAAATGTGGAGGATGATGTTTCCGATCGAAACGTTGCCATCTATAGATCCTGATATTCTCCAGCCACACCTTGTTGAACATTGGCTGAGTCCACCGGTCGTCCCCCAATCCGGAGGCGCGCCAGCAAGCAACTGTGATGGCCAGCAACGGCTGGGGGCGGTGCTGGCAACTGATTTTTTTTTTTCATTTAAGGATGCATTGATATAGGCCATGGGTGGGCAACTCTACAGCAACTGCCCCTGCAGCAAACAGTCAACTGGTGGACTGCAGTGGTCTCAGACGACATGCTTCGAACACCGAGAGCGGTGCAACAACGAACACATGGAGGAGCTACTCAGGGAGCTTTTGAGAGCAGAACTGCTGAAACTTCTTCCGCCCTTTCGACGCCTGACACCGAGACAGTCACATGACGCCAAAGTCTTGTTGGTGAAAATACGTTGCAATGATTGGTTTGTTGTTGGAATTTTGCACCTGCATTATCCTGCATTCAATGATGGCATATGGCAAATTCATTTTCATCATGTAGCCAAAATTCAAAGGAAATCCTGCACTTGTTTTGTTGGGATGATCTTTCAAGCCAATGTCGCAAAAACACAAGGAAAACAAGAAAGAACTGACTGACCAAAATCATGAGGAATTAACACCAATTAATGAACTTTAATTACTGCTAGAATGGTTGGAACGCAGTGACAAAGAAGCAGTGAATTCAATCTTCAACTTGCCAACCGCCTGGCTCCGTTCTTCAGTACTGTCCATATGTCCTGATGGCTGTGCAGGCCCCGTTTGGCTGTTTCACGGGCGGGACTTTGGCTGTGGACCAACTGTTTGCCATTCACACGGGCGGAAATCCGAGACTAGATCCCTGAAGTCAGCCACCGGCAGCAGTAGCAATTGGTCTACCCTCTGGTAATTTAACATAGCTATTGAAAATGGCCATTTATAGTGGGTTTTCCCATTAAAAATGGTGATTTTCCATAGTTATGTTAGTTTACCAGAGGGTACTGCCCGTACTTGCCATGTCAAGTCCAGCAATCATCCCCGTAGGAAGGTCCCCTGCAGATTTGTTCACCTGTGACACAAACTCAGAACGATTAAGAATGCTATAGAGATGCCTTTGTCTATTTGTATTGATTTGGGTGGTAAAAAGGCGCAAGAACTCAACATTGCAGCCAGTCTGTGCAGGAACAAGTGTCAGCTTCTTCCTTGTTGACTATGTCCTGGTCCTCCCACTCTGGCATATCCAAGTGCTGGGTAAACCACACAATGGCATTGCCTTCCTTTCTGTCGACCTAACAAAATCAAGACCGGCTCCACGGGGTGCAAAAAACACCCTGGATGTTGGGATCATTAGCTTGGTGCAGGAGATTTCCCATCTATGGACAACATAATCCAGGTAAACAAATATATATATATACACATGATAGTTGTATATATATATATATATATTCATACATGATAGTATATATGTTTCATCTATGTTACACAATATATATATATAATGCATTTGCTAGATTACAGTAGTGTATATATATCTTTATAATTATAATATAGTGCAATATATATATATATTGTATCTACAGCAACCTACAGGGGATAGGCTGCAAATCCACTCTGGGACAGCATTTGGTTCCCTCAAGTTCCATGATTTTCAGGACAAACTGAGGCCTCTGCCGACCAGTAGGTGCAAGCGGCTCCTCCCCAACCAAATTCCTTTCCACTGAAGCCAGCCAATGCTCCCAGCAAGCACTGACGCTCTTCATTGGCAAGCCCAGAATCTGTCCTGAAACAGAGACACTGGCTGGTGTTTGCCAGGGAAACGGGTCAACATGGATAAGGGGAGATGCCAAGCAAGAACAAGAACAACAACAACAACAGCAGCAGCAGCAACAGGGATAACAGCGACCAAACAAAAACACCGCATTCCTACAACAGCAACAGCACGATTGATACTGTGCAGAACTAGGATGACAATTTGAGAATACTGGGTCACTACACTTAAATGCTCCTAGTTGATGGGTCCCACATACGGTAAGGTTTTGTTAGGTCCATGAGGTACTAAAACTCGATATATACATAAAATATATTTACATATAGAGTGGCAAATCCAATGGAACGACAAATGTTCACAGAAAACCAACATGGCCATGGAAAATCCAAAGCTTCGCGGGAAAGTAACCTACGTGCCGTGAATCGAGGGGAAGGCTTCCTGTTTCCAGGAGGCATCCCAAACAGTTCATCTAGCAAACATATATGATATATAGCATCCAATCATCAACAAACTCTCAAAATTGGGCATATCGTAACGGGCATATAGTAACACCCCAAAAACAGAAACAACTCATTCGTCACTACTTTATACTCAGATTGTGTTTTCCAATCTGTTCATTTCTTTCCCATAGTGTTTGGGGGTGCTATACCTATTCTGGTTGGTGGTTTCAACCCCTCTGAAAAATATTAGTCAGTTGGGATGATTATCCCATATATTATGGATAATAAAAGATGTTTGAAACCACCACCCAGTATTTCTTATCATCGTTATATGATTCTATGTAGCAATGATTCACCGCAGCCGCACCTGGGCCTTTCCATCGCTTGGATCGTCTCCTCCTGCAGTAACCGGATGCCGTTGGTGATGCCGCGCATGTCCAGCATCCGCACGAAGCGAAAGGTGTCTGCCACGGTGCTCAGCAGACCGCCCTGCAGGTGACCCATGATGCCACCACCGGACCTCGAAGAAGAGCGCTGGTTTCGGAAACGCCGAAAGGATGGGAAAGGTATCTTAAGCAATGCAGTGTAAGGGTTACTTTATGGTTAGAATGAGAATGAATGCGACATGTTTATAGAATTTTTGTGAAGTTTTCATGTCATGTTGAATGATGCCTAGGGGCCTTTAGTTTCAATGATTTCCCACTACTGCTACTTGGGGTGAAACAACCGTTTCAGGCTCCACATATTTGACAGCAGTGTGATTTGGGGAGATGGTTACAGGCAAGGGAACAAAAAATAACAAAAACAAACGGCCATGTGGGCAATGCCCAACACTGAGCCGGACACTGAATTTTGCACTCCTGTCCACGACGCCAGGCACTTTCTTCCGGTGAATCTCCATCCAAACGCACCAGTCCAGTGCGGGTGACCCGTGGCGCGCGACCACTGAGGGTACCATAGAGACGTCCCCAGGTGCTGGCGTTGCCATAGCACGCCGCCAGGCGATGCAACTTCTCATCTGGGACTGAAAAGCTGGTGTCGTGCATGCCCAGTGGGCGAAACAACGCGTCCTTTGGGCCGTCACGGGAAAACGAAACAATTACATACATACATATTTGTATATATATATATACAATAGTGACCAAGATGAAATCTCACAAAACATGTGCTGAGCTTCTCACTCCAGCGCAGCATCCCAAACTTTGTCACTGTACAACATCGATTCAAGAAGATCACAAACACCTTAAGGGTTTATGACTCATCCGTTTCGATACATGCTACCCTCTGGTAATTTAACGTAGCTATTGAAAATGGCCATTCATAGTGGATTTTCCCATGAAAAATTGTGATTTCCCATAGTTACATTAGTTTACCAGAGGCTATCCGCTATCGATGTTCCATCTTTTTCCCCACTTTTCCAGGGGCCACCCCAAGGCCATCCAAGGCCATCAAGGCCAAGGGTCTGCCAAAGCCTCTTCCAAGCGCTTTCCGCAGAGAACTTCCAACACCCGGCCCAGGACATCGGTGGAAAATCCATAGGCATAAGCATCACCTGGATATGAACAATGGAGGCCCTCAAAATCTGCCCAAATAGAGTTGATATTAATATTGATACATATGTATATATATATATATATGTACTAATATATTTGCATATATATATATATATATTCATTATAATTATATATATACATATGTACTAATATATTTGCATGTATATATATATATATATGCATACATACACTAATATATATATATATATGTACGCACTACTTATAATATATATATATATATAATTATAATATATACATATATATATATAATTATAATATGTATATATATATATATCCATAAGTATCTATAAGTTATTAGTTATTAATTAACTGATTTACAAATTCATTGTGTCGTGGGCTATTTTTTGGTGTCGCACATCGGTCACCGATGCCAACCACGGCCCACCTGGATGGAACCGCAACGGAAGCTTTGCCAATCGATTGGTGAAGTCTTCCAGGCTCCTGTGGAGATCTGGGGAGCTGGTGTTCCTTCCATTGTGATGACATTTGATGACAATGGAGCCCTGTTCATTTAACATGCCCATAGGATCCATGGTGCTGGTATATATGCTAACATAAAGGGGGTATATTGATGGGATCCATGTTACCATATATACCATACATGGAGCCTATGGGTTATGTGTTGCTATGATTTTTCTATCATGTTGATATATTTCGGATATATTTCGATGTTTTTTCATGAGTTTTTTCTTCTCCCTATGTTAGCCTAGTGTTGATGTTCCCCAGTCCTCACAGAGCCTTGATCTACCGCGTTCACCAGCTTGGCATAGCCCGTTTCAGTGGCATCACTGGGCTCCTCCCCAAAGCCGCAACCGTAGGAGAGACCGGAAGTGTGGGTTAGCCTCAGCCAATCTCAGCCAATCTCCATCGGAAGTGTGTGCGATTTCCATGGATATTTCCATGGATCTTTCGATGTGCCATGACATCATGATGTGCCATGACATTTCCGTGGAACACTTGAGCAAGTCTGGTGGTCTGTTGAAAATTGGTTTCGTTATTGCAGCATAAGCGTGCGTAAAATCATCAGCCTGGAAGACGAATACAGTATGAGCTTATGAACTTGCTATGACACCCATGCACCACCAATGCATCACCAATGCATTAGCAGCATTATCTGCCTGCCTTCCACTCACGAATTTCTGTTACCAACACCTGTTACCAACACCGTGCTACAGGCCTGTATGTGCTATGGGGACTAGGCTGGGACTAGGGTGGGCTTTATCTGCTGAGCGGCAAGTGTTGCATTCGCATCACACGCTTGGGTTTGCAGAGCAATGATGGTCGAGATTCGTCACTGGAGCGAGCAGCCACCACCTGGATTCGCGCTTGGCAGGGCATTGGATTCATTTTCTGATTCATGAGTGTTGTTGCGGGCACTGTTTTCAATTATGTCAGTCATTCATCAACACATCATAGTTGTTCATAGTTGTTCAATATCTCCAGACCTCCCAGCCACTTGAGAAATCTCTCCGTCCCGACCTGCACATCCGCAAAGGCAGGCAGGAATTTGGCCACAGGGTCATCTAGGCGCACTTTGCCCTGCTCCACCTGCATCATGAAGGCCACAGTGACCTCACAGTGACTGCTCATGAGACATGGCTGCCATGGCTGCCACCAAAGAGAACGAAGACTTCTTGTTGCCCAGTTTGATTTGCAACATGCTGTAAAGAGGGGTCAGAACTTGAGTCATTGCGAGAGTGGCATAACTGTGCAATGCCTCAACATGCCAGCTTAAAGGTTGTTGTGACATGCAGCGACCTGATTAGATCATTAGGCAGTAGATGTGTTTTTTCCCTGGTCTGGATGAGAAAATGGAGGTGAACCACTGAATCCCTGTTCTCGGTAAGTTTGCCAAAGGGTCACTGATAGAGCTATGGCCCGTATGGCACCCCGCCTATCTAAAGAAGGTCAATTTTGATCTTGTTGATCCACCCCACCCAAATCACCAAGGCACATAGGTCTTAGTGAGACAGAAGGTCCGACAAATAGTGTCTAAGCGGAAGGGCCTTTTTGTTTCCAGGTCAGCATATCCAAACGCTCTGGCGTGGATGAGCTTGCCATGTCTCAAGACCACCTGAGAAATTGGCGACAGCAACGCCATGGGCGGAGCCCAGCTAAGGGAAAGAAACGATAGATGTCAACTGCTATGCTCAGTGACAGCTGAAGAATTTGAACATATTCCAGATATTTCCAAATACACTTTCGAGAAGCAACTGATATCCACTATAATCTTCCAAAAGCATTCTCTTTCGGATGGTATTTATGTATAACATTTATGTTGCCATATGCGACCTTTTATTTTCCCATTTCCACATTCTTGGGAAAAGACACCCCAACAGCTGCAGCTATCTCTTTTGGTCAAGTAACGCTTGCACAACCAGGGATGACATTCTTCCTCGATGCAGCTTTCATGGCGGCTTCATACTTGCCTTGGAGGCTGCCACACACAGCGTTCTGCCGGGAACACCCTGGATACAACGGAGTGTTGATGGGACCTTTCCCAGCACAAAAGGACACCAAACCAATCAAACTAATCAAACCATCTACTGTACATATATAAATATATTAAAAAAAAAAGTTATCTCGTGTACTATATTGTGATATCATAGAATGTATGTATATAAAAATACGCATGTCCATATGTGTATATATGTATGTATGTATGTCTGTATGTGTGTATGTATGTATGTATGTATGTATGCATGTATGTATGTATGTCTGTATGTGTGTCTGTATGTGTGTATGTATGTGTGTATGTGTGTATGTGTGTATGTCTGTATGTGTGTATGTGTGTATGTATGTATGTATGTCTGTATGTATGTATGTCTGTATGTGTGTATGTGTGTGTGTATGTGTGTATGTGTGTATGTGTGTATGTATGTATGTATGTATGTCTGTATGTCTGTATGTCTGTATGTATGTATGTCTGTATGTGTGTATGTATGTGTGTATGTGTGTATGTGTGTATGTGTGTATGTGTGTATGTATGTATGTATGTATGTATGTAATGTATGTAATGTATGTAATGTATGTAATGTATGTATGTATGTATGTATGTATGTATGTATGTATGTATGTATGTATGTATGTATGTATGTATGTATGTATGTATGTATGTAGTATGTATGTATGTATGTATGTATGTATGTATGTATGTATGTATGTATGTATGTATGTATGTATGTATGTATGTATGTATGTATGTATGTATGTATGTATGTATGTATGTATGTATGTATGTATGTATGTATGTATGTATGTATGTAATGTATGTAATGTATGTAATGTATGTAATGTATGTAATGTATGTAATGTATGTAATGAATGTATGAATGTATGAATGTATGAATGTATGTATGTATCTATCTATGTATCTATGTATGTATGTATGTATGTATGTGTGTATCTATGTATCTATGTATCTATGTATCTATGTATCTATGTATCTATGTATCTATGTATGTATGTATGTATGTATGTATGTATGCATGCATCTATGCAAGTATCTATCCATGTATCTATTCATGTATCCATGTATCTATGTATCTATGTATCTATGTATGTATGCATGCATGCATGTATGTATGTATGCATGTATATGTACCGTATATAAAAACACTCCAAGCAAAAATCATTCATCTGCAGCTCAGCTACGGATGCGCAGTGGATCAACTCCCACTGATCTGGGGGTATCTACTGTCAGCACCTCGCGTCGTCCCTTGGACAGCGCGTCCCTTGGGCGCTTCAAGGGGTGCAGCGGGTGACGCTTTCGACGATGAAGGACCATGGCACGGGAATGAAGGTGGCATCAATGCTGGATTTCAAGAGTTTCCATCAGATTTCAATATATATAATATAGTATGAAGCTGTCATAGACGTTCATGAACTAAATATCCAATCCAAATGTGGGGTACATGCTGTAACGCTACTGTACATCTTAAATGATTTTCTTCACACACCAAGTGCCACATAACTCTTCGTAGGTTTTGAGTTTGATCTAGCATAGAGGCTTAACATATACTATATAACCTTGATTCTTCTCACAAAATATGACAGCTGCATAGTCATGAAGCAAAACATCCATTTAAGCGACAAATTGGAGTTCCTATCAACGACTACCACAATCTGGAAGCCATCCAGTCAAGTCAAGGCGGAGTTCGGCACACTGCAAGAGCCTACTTCTGATTCAAATTGTCATACAATTTTCCGCGGAGAAATTGGTGTGCAACAAAAGATTAAACCCACATCAAAAACAAGGTAGCACGCCTCCTCAGTACTCGGGAAAAATCGATCAAAATTGAGCATTTGACCTGGTATTTACACTGTTTTGTGTGTATCATCATTCCAGGCCCCGAACTGCAAAAGTACGCAAAACTTGTTTTTCATCCAGAGGGCTTCTAGTCTTTATGGTTATGTCGGTAGACGAACTGGTATATGTATCCCCGCAAACGTAGCATGACGTGTGTGTGCAAGTGCAAGAGGAACGTGCAGTAGCGTAGCATGACTTGTGTGTAGAAGTATACTTGAACGTTATTAGCCCCCCCACCCCACCCCACCCCAACGTTGCATGACCTATGTGTGCAAGTGCAAGAGAAACGTGCAGTAGCGTAGCATGACGTGTGTGTGGAAGTGCAAGAGGAACGTGCAGTAGCGTAGCATGACGTGTATGTGTGCAAGTGCAAGAGAAACGTGCAGTAGCGTAGCATGACGTGTGTGTGCAAGTGCAAGAGAAACGTGCAGTAGCGTAGCATGACGTGTGTGTGGAAGTGCAAGACTGCAGTAGCGTAGCATGACGTGTGTGTGGAAGTGCAAGAGGAAGGTGCAGTAGCGTAGCATGACGTGTGTGTAGAAGTATACTTGAACGTTATTAGCCCCCCCACCCCACCCCACCCCACCCTACCCTCACCGTACCACAAACATATCATCAACGTCCCATCAAAAACGTGCACCGTTGCCGAGTACCGAGAGTACGTGACACCAAAAACAAGATATTCCCATCGAACATTACAAAGGTTCTGGGTCCAAGCTATCACAGCGATAGTGGATAGAAAAGGTATGGTACCTCAACAGGCAGGTTCGGTTAGGTATACAGATACAAACAAAACAATACCAAAAAACAAGATCAAACTATCTCATTGAATCTGCGTGGCTGACTGTGAAACTGCTGGATTGCTGCTTTCCCGTCCTCACAGCCTAGGGCCTAGGAATTTGGATCCAACTACGTTCTGTACTTAGATGGGTAGCCAAGATGGGTAATATGTGGTAATCCTTTGCCAGGCCGGCCATGAAAGCATGTTTGTGTGCGTTTGTCTCCCAAATCCCTCCTGTTGTCACCTTTTCTTCAAGATTTCAAAGCTGGCAATGGGACATGAACAAACTTTTCATCAATCCTTCAGGTGGTTCTCACCTGCTAACAAGATCATTGTTCAAAATGGGGTCCATTGTCCATTGGAACCTATACGGTGGTTGGAGGGATCCAAAAATTGCCTTGGTACTCTGGTGAACCCCAACTGGTGCTCTGGTGGGCCTCAACTGGTACTCTGGCGAGTTTGAACCGGTACTGTGGTGAACCCCAAAATAGATCAAAATAGCTTGGACTTGTGGATGTTCATTCTCCAAAATTCCGGAATCAGCCAATAGAATCCAATAGATCCGTAAATAATTGATTCGTAAATAATTAGATGGTGAATATCCCAATGTTTTTAATGATTAGTAGTGAAACCACCAATTCTGGCGGCGATGTTTCCGGGTCTGGGTTCCCCTTGCTGCAGGCTCTGGTTCACCGTCTCATCATCTCCGCGCAGCAAGGCCTCAGATCCACACGCTTGGATCATGGGACCCTCGTGGTGAGGTAACCATAGGCAATCCATAGGTACCTGGTGAACCCGTTAAAATATGTTAAAAATGCTGAGGTAACTGGTGAATTATGGTAAATCCATATATTTTTATTCCCCTTGTTAATCCAGGACGAAAGATGACACTTGGATCACTTGGACACTTCGGGAGGGACAACTGTAACTCCTGGAACAAGTTGATATGGGCCACGGTCAATATTTAGTATATAGCTCCAAGTCATCAATTTTTGAAGAGTGTATTATCGTTTTTCAGGTTTTGGGAATATAGCAAATGTTATCGCTTTTTGAAGAGCGTATCATCGTTTTCCAAGCCCCAGCTCAATTTCCAAAAATAAAGATGTCTCGAATACTACTTTCCATTACGCTAGATTTTACCCTCTGGTAATTTAACATAGCTATTGAAAATGACAATTTATAATGGATTTTTCCATTAAACATTGTGATTTTCCATCGTTTTTTGTATGTTTACCAGAGGGTAGCGCTCATATATTTATTAGACCCGAGGACCTGGACAACAACTCCCCACTCAAGTAGACACCGTAGATGTGGGGGGTTCCATTTTTATGGTACCCAAAATGGATGATTTACCAGTAGTACCGCACAAGGCGGTGGCGGAAGTTTCAGAATAGGAAACCTATAGGAGACGTTGGTTGTTGTGAATCACGGATGGCAGAGCGAATCCACTGATTGACCGAAAGGGGGTTGGAGTTGTGTTTGCTGGAATGGTTGCAATGGTTGCAGTGGTCACCTCACCCACAACTGCTGGATGTAGTGTGATGTACTGCAACTGTAGTTGTAGTGGTAGCGTAGTGGAGTTGTAGTTGTGGTGTAATGTAATTAGTGTAGTGTAGTTGCAGTCATATAGTTGTAGATGTAGTTGTTTTGTAGTTGTAGTTGTAGTTGTTGTAGTTGTAGTTGTTGTTGTAGTTGTAGCTGTAGTTGTTGTGTGGTTGTAGTTGTTGTTGTGTAGTGTTGTTGTAGTAGTAGTAGTAGTAGTAGTAGATTGTAGATTGTAGATTGTAGATTGTAGTAGTAGTAGTAGTAGTTGTTGTTGTTGTTGTCGTAGTAGTAGTTGTTGTTGTTGCTGTTGTAGTAGTAGTAGTAGTTGTTGTTGTTGTTGTAGCTGTAGCTGTAGTTGTTGTAGTTGTAGTTCTAGTTGTAGTTGTTGTGTAGTTGTAGTTGTAGTTGTTGTTGTTGTTGTTGCTGTTGTTGTTGTTGCTGTTGTTGTAGTAGTAGTTGTTGTAGTTGTAGTTCTAGTTGTAGTTGCCGTGTAGTTGTTGTAGTTGTAGTTGTTGTAGTTGCTGTGGTTGGTGTTGTTGTTGTTGTTGTGGTTGTGGTTGGTGTTGTTGTAGTTGTAGTTGTAGTTGTAGTTGTAGTTGTTGTTGTTGTTGCTGTTGCTGTTGCTGTTGCTGTTGTCGTCGAAGTTAGGGTAGTTAAGTTAGTTAAGTTAGTGAAGTTAGTCAAGTTAGTTAAGTTAAGCAGCGTCTACTTTTTCGACATCTTCACGTCAAAAAAGGCTCAAAACCCTCAGTTTTTTACACTTTTGACTTCGAAATGTGCTTCGCGCCACAACGGCGTGCACTTTTTCGACACTTTTTCGACATCTGAACCTCCAAAAGTGGTCCGAGAATGGTGTGCTTTGTACATTTTCACTTGGAAATGTGCTTCGCGCCACAACGGCGTGCACTTTTTCGACATCGGAACTTCCAAAAGTGGTCCGAACCTGGTGTGTTTTGTACATTTTGACTTGGAAATGTGCTTCGCGCCACAACGGCGTGCACTTTTTCGACATCTCAACTTCCAAAAGTGGTCCGATCCTCTAGTGTTTTGTCCATTTTGACTTGGAAATGTGCTTCGCGCCACAACGGCGTGCACTTTTTCAACATCGCAACTTCCAAAAGTGGTCCGAACCCCTAGTGTTTTGTACATTTTGACTTCGAAATGTGCTTCGCGCCACAACGGCGTGCACTTTTTCGACATCTCAACTTCCAAAAGTGGTCCGGAGCTGAGGTGTTTTGTACATTTTGACTTGGAAATGTGCTTCGCGCCACAACGGCGTGCAATTTTGCATCGCTCCTGTGGCCAGCTGGCTCCGCACCCGCCGCTTTAGCGAGCCTACTTTTCGACCCTCCGGCGCCACAAATCATTGGAAAAACACAGTGTTCCGAGTGTTTCGCGACTTTCCTACCTTTTCGCGCATCTGTAGCGTCTGTCCTCTTACTCTTTCTCTTCTGATCTTCTCTCTTCTAATCTTCCTCTTCTCTGTGCCTCTGCCCTGCTCTGCTTTTCATCTCTCCATATTGTCGGAAGTTTGACTTCTAAACTTCCTTCGGTAATGGAAAATATTGGAAAATCATAGGAAATCCCATCTATAAATGGATGATGACTGGGGGTACACCCTATGACTTAGGAAACCTCACGAAACCTTCATGTGAATGTCTTGAATCCAGTGGTCAGCCGTGTATTGTGACGCCACTTCCACTCGATTCAAACAGCAACATCAGAGCAAGACCCTGGCGCTCAGTAGGATGAACCTCAGGCTGGGAAATGGGAATCTTTGCGCGGCTAGAGGCTTTTGATCATCGCCACCCTGTGCACTGGTGGTCTGTACCCTTGATCAACCCCACTCAACTCAAATCTTGTTTCATTAATTTCTCCAAACATCTCCAAACTACGTGTACACACAATCACACACACATTGATTTCCTGTAAATCCCTGCAACATACCCAGTATATAGATGTTCTGGTGCCATTGTCTGATCTTTTTCGGGTGTCCCAACGTTTGTCGCCGCGCCGCACCATAGACCTGAAGCAGCTTCCCGTCCAACCATTTTTGTTTTGCCAATTCTGACTGGCTGACTGGCCACTCGGCTCATGGGTCTTCAACTTTGACCCATACCCTCTGGTTATGTCAAAATAGCTATTGAAAATT